TTTCCAGACAGTTGCCATATGGCTGGAATACCCAGTCTCTATATATTCACTCGACCAATGATCGTTTTGCTTTGGCACAACTTCCCTGCAGTAGCGGAAGCTGAGTGTATGTTGCCAGTCGAGTAGACTCCATATTTCCGTTTTGTAAGCAGCTGGGCGAAACTAGGATGCTGTTATTTTGTAACATTTCCCTAAGAAGGGGATTTTTCACGCAAATATAATTTGCCTTTGACGCACATTGAAATTCGTGTCGGTGGATAATGGAGATTGGTTAGTATCTGTAACATTGATGTGTTATCGCTTATCTCTAAAACATATAGCTATAATGGGGGGTGGGTGCTGATGCGAAGTTAAATACTACCGCATTCCCTCTAAGACACAATACACATCGACTCATAGACGTGGCTGTTGTGAACAATGCAACCCAGTCTCAGCTCCCATCTAGCGGTATATCTACATTGTGACGTATTTCTGGTTTCCAATGTATAATTTCAATGACAGTTCAGATCTGATAATACTGTACTATGTAATGAGGCAGTGTTATACGTTATGCAGTAATGTTTTACATGCTGCACATTGCACCTGTAGATTCATTCGGGGGCATTGGTGCGCTATATTTAGACTTGTGCTACAAACCTATAGGCATCTCCAGTGACCCTGTGAATATTTTAGAATTTTCTTGGCTTTTTCTCCAGATTAAAGGGGAGCTGGCTATTGCCTCTCATCTCGTTGCACCTCAAGCCACAGGAAGACAAGAATTTTGTGTGATCATGTTAAACTCTGTCCCCTACCTGCCCAGCCCTTTCTTCCAAGTTGGATTACTGTTGCTGTGATGTGAAGTTAACAGTCTCAGTCCCTTGTACTACTCTGTTTCTGAATGTGTGCTGTCAGGCAATTCTGTGATACGGCTGTACTTGAATTGTATTGAATCGTGAACATGACGAAAGTGACTTCACACAAGATCCTGAAGTGACCCAAAACTGTCGAGACTCCAGTGACAATGACGAGCAGACTCATTTCAGACGTTTCAGTGAGGCTGAAAAGTACGAGATCAAAACCCACATCTTGCGCTCTTGACCATTTGCCTACATCTGTACTTCAGACCATCTTGATGTTCTCGTACTGACACAAGTCTTGAACTCTAGTGAAACCACTCTTGAAGATGCCAAACCTTGACTGCACCGTACTTGGCAATAACAGACCTGTATCCAGTGAATGTGAGGATGTCAGAACATCTCCAGCAACATGACATGTATCACCATCTTCAGTCAGCCTATCGTGTTCACCACTCCACTGAGACTGCTCTTGTTAAGTCCTAAATGATCTACGACTTGGTTTTGACAACAGCAATCTTGGTATCTTCGATCCTCCATTTCAGTTCGGCTTTTGATACAATTGATCACGACATGCTCATTTATCGTCTCAGGTGTGATTTTCACATTGATGGCACCGCTCTCTGTTGGTTTAAGTCCTACCTAACGTCCCGCCGTCAGACTGTGCTCATAGATGGACACCACTCTGCCCCAGTCCATCTCAAACATGGTGTACCACAGGGATCGGTCGTGGGGCCGGTCCTCTTCACTTTGTATGTTAAGGAGTTTGGAAGTGTTATTGCCGAACACAACATAAATCGTCATCAATACGCAGATGACGCACATCTATACAAGTGATTTCCTGCAGACCAAGAACAGCCATGTAGTGCACTAACAGACATGAGTCAATGCTGTGATGACGTTAAATCCTGGATGACCCACAACAAACTTAAGCTCAACAGCAACAAGACAGAGTGCATTCTCCTTGGTCCAGAGAAGCGGAGGTCCAATCTGCCAAGACTCTTGTATTACCACTTGTAATGAGTAAACTTGATTATTGTAACTGTTTACTGGCCGGTGCATCAAAGACCCAGATAGCCAATCTGCAGAGAGTGCAGAAGGCCGCCGCCTGCATCGTCACTGGCTCTGGAAAATATGAACACATTACTCCTATAGTGTACACTCTCCACTGGCTTCCAGTCGAGTTGCGGATCAAGTTTGAACTCATAAGCCTTGTTTTCCGCTGTCTCACTGGAACTGCACCTTCATATCTATCCAATCTTCTAACCGTGTACACGCCTTCCCGATCCCTCCGCTCACAGGATAAGATCTTGCTTGTTGTTCCCAAAGTAAACACAGTGATGTATGGAAAGAGGTCCTTCGTCCATGCGGGATCTATAGCCTGGAACAGTCTCCCACAGAGTCTCAGAGACTGTTATGACTTTCATACCTTTAAATCCAATTTAAAAACACATGTTCAAGATGGCCTTTGAACTGTAGCTCTTTGCCTTTAATTTCATCTTACTGAACTCTTTGTATAGTGTAGCGCTTTGGACATGCTTAAGCATCGATATATGCGCGTTACAAATTTGCTGTTATTATTATTTTTAACTGATAAAGATGAATATGCAGCAGAGAGGGTTCGGGTGATCCTAGCAGTCAGGCTGGTAAGGCTCATCGTCAGCTCAGGGCCCTTGCCCCCTCTATAGTAATTACCTTTGTACTGAAATCTAAGCATACAATTGTTAATTACAGTACATTCCCCGTTGTTTGCTGGTTTCACACATTGTACTCTACCGATTCCCACTTTATTGTTTTGTTTCAACCTGGGAATCATCACGTATATTTTAAATCATCGAGCAAAATGTCTATATAATGCTATGGCTTAGCCAGTGTGACGTTAAAAAGTAACTCACTCACTCACTCATTGAGTAGTACCATACACCAGATACCACAACAAACCGTCGTATACCACATCAAACCGTGGTATACCAAACAAACCGTCGTATACCACATCAAACCGTCGCATACCAAACAAGCCGTCGTATCGTGAAACGAATGCATAGAACGAAATGTTTTCAGGAAGCAAGAATTCTTTATTTTAATCTCGTAACGTGAGCATCTTCGGGATCTCTTCCTCGGCTGCATTTCTCTTCTGTTTCGTAACGTCCATTCAGGAAATCCTATTTTGCCTCTCCACGTCTCAGGTTTTGGTCTATTTTCTATGAAAATGAAGAGTGAATGTGCAATGAATGAATTTGGTTTTACATCGCATTGAACAGCAAGGGAGATAATTTACAAGTGCAACTCCTGTATGGTAAAGAATACTGCAATCAAGAGTATCAGCTTCTTTATGAATACCAGGCTGTAGAGTGAGTGAGTTTAGTTGCACGCCACTTTTGTCAATATTACAGCAATATCACAGCGGGGGACACCAGAAATGGGCATCACACATTGTACCCATGTGGGAATCGAACCCGGGTCGACGAGCGAACGCTTTAACCACTAGGCTATTCCGCCACCCCACGAGGTTGTAGAAGTTAAGAAAGGTAATATGGAAACAAATTTGGAAACTTGATGTCAGTTAACCTAGCACTGACTGGTCATGACAAATGGACCAAAGGAAGGCTGAAGTAATTAGCAAGGACATGACAGAAAGTGGAATCGGGATTTACTGATGTTATCGGACTTGTTCAAGACACTCTTTGGGATATATTACATATACTGAGAATGTTATGTCACATGTGGAGGCGATGGGGTAGCCTAGTGGTTAAAGCATTCGCTGTTCACGCCGCAGTACCGGGTTTTGGTTCCCCATATGGGCACAATGTGTAAATCCCATTTCTGCAGTATTGCTGGACTATGGTTAAAAACGGCATAGAACCATAATGACGCATGACACAAGTTTCAGAGTATCGATTGGCTTGAACTGGACATCGGATCCTGTTGCACTCCATATAGTCCATCTTTAAGACGAGTAACCGCCTCTATGGCCGTGTGGATAGAGCATCTTCCCAAAGAGCAGTAATTTCGGGGTTTGATTCCGAGGCCTTGTCATTGTAAAGACTTAAAAATATGGTACCACAGGCCCTCGTGTCTTTGCGAGGATTAAAGATTTCAAAAAAATGTACAAAAAACTGAGCTGACCCCCTATTCGAAATGCTTCACAGTGCAATATATCATGATGTATTGCACAGACCCTCGTTTCTTTGCGAGGATTAAAGAATATTGTTTTTGAAATGACCCCCGACTAGAAATGCTTCACAGTACATATACATCATAATGTATTGTACTGTAAAGGATTTCGAGTCGGGGGGTCATCTCAATGTTTTATATATTTTTTTGAAAATCTTTAATCCGCGCAAAGACACGATTGCGTGTGGTATTGTACTGTGAGGCATTTCGAGTCGGGAGTCATTTCAAAAACAATATTCTTTAATCTTTAATCCTCGCAAAGAAACGAGGGCCTGTGTATGGTACTTGATGTTACTCTGCCTGACGCTTGGCAAAGTCTGGTTGGCTGGAAACCAGTGTACTATGTTGTGAGTGAGGTGTTGCTGTTACGCTGTCATCTCAATGGACATGCACTAAAAAGGACTTAAGTCCAACCTGTTAGAAACAGACACACGCACACATGCATATACATGTATCTAAAGAAGTGCGTTTTACTTAATCTCTTCAAAAGGTCAGTTATGAGAAATGTTCTCTCATTCCAGTGTCCATTGTAAAAAAATCTGCGCCTCGACTGCATTACATGTTGACAAAATAAGGACCTTGCACAAATATAGTGTTCCAGGTTACATAGAACATGTTCAAAGAAAATCAGCATTAGATCTCCACTTAGCTTCTTACAAAACACATCCCATGGGCGGATCCAGGAATTTTAAGGTGGTGGTGTGTGTGGGTTTCGAACCCCCTGAACCCCGCCACTGGCTCCGCACAGCGCAAAAAAAACCTTGTGGTTTTATGTCATTTTCAAACCCCCTGAAACAGGAAAATGTGTTTTCTTTGTGTCCTGACAAGTGAGAACGAAGCGCTTGTAAAATAACAATTGAACCCAACAGTTATTTTGGCCCTAAGCTTTACTCAGCGAATCCTACTCTGAACTTATTTCAGCGCGCTCACGCTACTATATACTATCCCAGTATACGCTTAGGCAGCTAACGACATAGTAGAGAGTACAGCAAATGAACCGTGCAGGGAGTACGTTGTCGCCCCGCCCATGTGCGATCGCCTGATCAGAACACGACGAGAGTGACAACTTTAAGTTGCGGTGTCAAGCCCACAGGTCAAAGATTGTTTTATCGTCGATGCTGACACTGGACAGTGGCCGACAGATGAGACTCACATGCCGAAAAATATATTCGCTGATTTATTGGACAGTTGATTTGAAAGTAAGAAATACATTTCTGTTAATTTTCAACTCAATCAATGCATCTTAGAGATGTCTGTTGTTATGCTGTTCCACTTCATTTTCTTAAAGATGTCTTTTTGTATATGTTTATGTTTTGCCGTCAAACTTTGTGAGAAGAAAATAGTGCGTTATTTTGAGAGCGGTATTTTAATACACTGTGTTTTGTCACGCGTCAAAGTAGTACGAAAGATCCGGATGTGAAGTTCACTGAACCACAACACTTCGTGGCTGTATACAAACAACATGTTTTAAACTGACCCGGATTCGCCAATGTAGGGTCAGTAAGCAGTATGTTTGTTTGTATACAACCACGATTTCATGTGACTCAACGTTGACGTTTCGCTCATTTCGAAATATGACGTGTCGTCTACAACCACACCTGGGGATGTTGTAGGTGTAACTGAGATATAACAAATTTAATAATTGTGATTGATGTTATCACAAGAATCGTTGTACCAATCCCTTCAGTGTTTTTCTGTTTTTTTTTGTTTGTTGTTGTTTTTTCTTATCTATTCTTTTTTTTAAAGAAAATTCATTCAAGTCATGGTAATCACCAAAATGTGGACTTTTAAGATATTACACAACTAACACCTCTATATGCTCCCACTGTTTGGGACAGAACTCAGATGAAGCGTGTATACCACAGGCAACCAGATTCAGTGGCAACCTGAAGATTAGTGATGTCATGGTAACCAGTGGCTCCGAGGCATTGTGTTTTTTGTAGTGACAATATCTCGTTTTGGACAGTTTTGGTATGATCAGGTTTATTTTTCCATTTGATAGCATAGCTTTAACTCATTAAGCCCGAGAGCTGAAGACCACTTTTGGTCACTCAACAGCTGGATAGAGATTGATTATTGGCTATGCCGTTGACCAGTCGATATGCTGGGTTTCGGCTTTATCAACTCAAGCTATCATGTAACAGTTTGTGTATTGTAAACATACATAATCGTAACGATCTATGAAATATACACATATAAGACAAATAGAAGTAGATAGATCTCAGAGATCGAAAACTCATTTTAGTGTTTTTGATAATAAAACAAAGTGATTGAAATCCAACCAATGAGTAGAGATAGTATTTATTTTCATATACATTTTACGCACACAACTAGTACATAAAACATAATGGTTTGCTGTACATGTAAATATAATCTTCACCTTGATACGAATGAATTAAAGTACACGTATTAGAGAATTCAAAAAGTGACACGATACTGAATTATTATAATGTAGAAACTTGCAGTTTAATCCCCCCAAATATTTATGAAGATGGTGTGTGCCTATATTTATACTGAATGTAAACGAGGTTCATAAGATTACAGATGTTCTTGTATGCATAATAGTGTTGGGAATTGGTTGAAATCTCACAATTGATGATTGCTTCATTACCAACGAACAATCATCGAAAAAAATTGGTTAGCATCATTTTTCAGATTTTCCAATCCAGGTTGTTTTTGCAGATAGGTATAAGATTATGCAACTTGCTACTTTAAAGTGATGACTGATATATCATGACCATAAACTTCCTGGAGTCTTCAAGAAATATTCAGTCATGACTTTTCAGTTAGTGAAGTGAGTTTTCTAAGAATTAAACAAGTTTGCAGGCCCCAACAACTTCGAAGATATGTTCCATCGTCAAGTGTTTCAAAGACTAAAACAGCAGTTCCAAAATCGTTTGTGTTCGATTATGAGAAAATGTGATCGATTGCTTGGTTGTTTGGTCACTGCGACCAATCTTCGATTATTTCAATTAATCGGACCACCACTAATGCATAAACATTAAAAAGAGGGGCGTGACTCCATAAAGCAGGTTGTCCAATGATATAACATCGCATCTGTTTATTTTACACTTGTCACGGGACAAACCTTTCAACAAAGGCATAACTACACATGCATTCTACCGTAGGCTGTTATTTCAAGGTCGAAAGAGGTGTTCGATTATCTCATTACTGTGATCTGATTGAATGATTATATGCATGTACCGGTATATAGATACCGTAACTGATATACTATCCAGCTTTTATTGACGATGGATCAATAGAGACTGTGTTCATTGATACACGTGATAATTACACCGGATTTGAAAATTACAGAGATCGAATACAAATGTTTGACACAATGCTCATTTAAATTGCATAGAAAAATGACTATTCAAATCAACATGAAACTTTCAACAGCTTGAACATAAATGCTTGAAATACCTATGTATGGTTTACATGTAATAACTCACTCACTGACTTCTTCTTTTGAATTACCAACTTACTGTGTTTTGTAACAAATGAAGTAAAAGATTTCATTGTTGTAATAACACTGACATGTATATATATTCGATTTAAAGGCTCGACTTATCACTTTATATTCAATTAGGTAATATTATCAACTTTAGATTATGGAAAATAACTAGTTACAATTTAGTAAGCTTTAAATTAGTAAGTTAAATTATGTCTAATCTATTCGAGCTTGCATGTATAATTATTTGTGTTTATACATTATGTTTCATTATATGAAACATGACAACGTAATAATACCTGAAAAGTAAATTAAAACTATTCTATTGTGTTTGAATTCTTTGTATGTCCTTGAAATTTCATATATTGTTACCTATTTATTAGGAAGTTGAAGAAAATATAATCTTCAGTAACCTCTAAACCATTACATCTAATTCAATCAATGTGCAAAAGAAGTTTTTTAGTATCCATTCCCAATGAAGAGTACCAGACACTTACCTCTTTAAAAACATCATAATCCCCTTTCTCGCCGACGTGTTCATTTGCCAAACGCTGTATAAGCCTGTGATAGTGATTAGCAATTGCTATGAAAACAATTTAAATACTTCTTCTGATTGACACTAAAGGTAGCATCTCTCGTAAGAAAGGCTAATATTTGCTCAGTACTACTAAATTGGTTGAAATAATAGGTACAGTGCGATTTTTAAAAGTATGACACACATGTGCGTCTCTCGCTGAATAAGAGGTGCTTTCTGTTAACGAATATATGTGGCTCTCGCTGTGAGAAACTGCCAATTACCTGCCCCATAAACACGTCTCTCGCTGTGAGGAGCTGATTAATTTGCCCCATATATGCGGCTCTCAGCCTTAAGGAGTTAAGCATTTCCTGAGGGCTCAGGAAAATGTCAGTATGATAGGTTAAAACTCGTTAGGAGAGGTGTACTGCGTCCAGCAGTTTAGACTAAATGTGTACACAAATACAGCTACACCTGCCACATATATGTATGAATGTATGTCAGGCCCTTGTACTAACATGTTTTTTTAGAGCAATTAAGGCATATTATTATTATCAGTATTTAGTTTACAGTTCATGAATGCTACCGTTATTCATTCCTGACAGAGTCATGTTGTTGTGTCCATCAATAGGTTTGATTACGGGTCGAAGCAGGAAATACATAACCCATGTGATATGTGCTGTATTATATACTGCAGCATACATGTTCTGTTTATACAGATGTAATACAAGCACCACAAGCCGGGTGTGGCTTGACTAATCATTCAGCATTTCAACATTCATGTCACGTTTCACAAACAGGTGAGGTGAGGTGAGGTGAGGTGAGGTGAAATTGGGTTTTACGTTGTGCTTGAGAATATTTCGCTCATATGATGACGTGCATGCATGTGTATGTGTATGTGCGGCTGCTTGTACTAGCCCAGAATTAAGCTGGTTTTATAATGCTAGCCCACTGAGATACCATGCCGCAGTGAAGCATGAATACCCTACTCAGACACATTATACTGACTCCGAGCCGACCAGTCCTTGTTGTACCCATTAATGCCGAGCGCCAGGCAGGGACCAACAAGTACCATATTTTAACGTCTTTTGTTATGACGCGGTCGGGCTTTATAGTGCTAGCCCACTGAGATACTATGCCGCAGTGAAGCATGAATACCCCACTCAGACACATTATACTGATTCCGAGCCGACCAGTCCTTGTTGTACCCATTAATGCCGAGCGCCAGGCAGGGACCAACAAGTTCCATATTTTAACGTCTTTTGGTATGACGCGGTCGGGGATAGAACCCGCGACCTGCCGCTCTCCGGGCGGACGCTCTAACCAGTACACCACAGAGGCAGTCGTTTCACAAAGATACTAAATGAAAACTAGAAAATTTATGAAAAAGTCGCGAAGCCAACATGAACATCATGCAAAGTAACAAATATTCTTTAATAAAATCAACAAGTGTATTTAATGTATCAGTACTATGAACCAATTGAGATAAATAAAGCTGGAAAGCTAACATTGGGAACATTTTAACTGAACTTGAACCTGTTCTTTCATGGTGACTGAGGCCCGTTTGTCTGTGACTCATTCTGACTACTTTCCTTTGAAGTCTAATTGCTTCAATATAACACAGACATTCACTGTAACACACCTGTCAGGCATTACACTTGACACATACAAAAAACTTTTATTTCATTCAGCTTGAATTTATCAGTTTACAAGTTCAAGAAAGGCAGGTATATTTAGTAACTTTCTCGACAATCTAACATTGGTTTAATCCTATGAAAGTGCCTTGCTGTGAACTGACTGATACAATGTGACAGTGGCACTTTGTTGTTTTGTCAAGTGGACAGGCTAAACTTTTAATAGTAATTACTGCCTTGCCTAACATGATACATGCATACTGTACATAATGTGCCATAATTGGTATTAATAATTAAATTTATTTTACTTTGTCACTGTGTACACATTTTGTTGTGAATGCATTTGTATTGCTGTGAATCAATTTTGATATCAGGAGATCTGCCTGGATGCTAATGCTTGTTATCTCGAATGTTCCTATATCTCAAAGTTACAACAGTGTCTGTCGAGGTTGTAGATTCAGCTGTCCACATTTTGAGAATCTGCGTCATTCAAGACCTCTAGAACATAATCAAAGTGCTCATCTCTAGTCATGTCTCAGGACTGCACAATAAGTGGTTAAGAGCTTGATAATGTTCATTTTAGTGGAAGAGGGCACATGCCAGTATATACACACAGAGGTACAGATAAGTTGCGTATCTGCATAAATTACGCATTTGTTTTTTGGGAAAACTCAATTCCTATTAAGTCTATTGCGTACAAGTACGCTTGAATTTTTGTAAATACTCAATAAATGTGATCTTACATGCGTACACACAAAAAATGTCAAATCTTAGCGTGGGTACCGGTGGATAGATAAAATAACTGAGGTATATTGAGAGGTTGTATTTCAGGACATGAACGTGACAACTTGCAGTCTTTCTTATCATATTTCATATTACAGATGAAACATAAATAACAAACACTAACATTTAAACTTTATTATATTTTTCAAATTAATGGAAAATGGCAAAATACCCAATTGAGTTTGAGTGAGGTGAGTACAATTTATTTGGTTACTCAAAGGAAAATTAGGATACCCAAATGAGATGAACACAAGCGAGTACATAACTCAATGACCCAAAAAGTTATCTGTAGCTCTGTACACATTTTGTGTTTTGTGTTGATCCAGAATAATACTGACGTCTCACGTCACGGGTTTGCTAAGGCCCTTTAGTGAGGAGATTGAGATACTGGTAAATACAATACTGCATTCTCACAAATGACACAGCCACTCAGGTGTAGTAGATCTCTCTTATCAGGGGTTTATTGTCAGCACCCAGGTGAAGGGTCACATTAGGTTGTGTGCATGTATTGAAGCATGAGGCGGCCATGTGATGGCATGGTGATAAGATAAACGTAATATGTAGATGTGTTGATCTGAACACAAATTGAGAGCGTTGTTCAATGAAACTAAGAACTTCGACTTGAACTTCATAGTGCAATCAGTGTCTTTAGAGTGGATTATTACATGTTTAGCACAAGGCAGCCTTCAAAATTCACACTAGTCTGTTAGAGACTAGTAAATTGTGCTGTGGACAAGTAAATATTCAATGATGGTAGTCATCTACACAAAGTGAGCTACAATTTTAGAACAAGTGAATTCAGGTTTACCTTCGTACTCTTCTTAATCATGTTAATGAGACAAATGTCTTAAGGCTTTGAGAAACTCTAGTCATAACATAGTGTTTGGTTCCAAATTACAATTGAGGTATCTGCTGTACAGTGGGGCATTTTTCAAATCACAGCAGGTATATCTTCTTATTATACAAGGCCAGTGTGGCTCATGAAAAGGTTTCAAATTTTAAATTTACAAAACTTTTGAAGGTCCAGGTTAGAATTGATCTTCAGTAACCCATGCTTGTCATAAGAGGCGACTATCGGGATTGGGTGGTCAGGCTCGCTGACTTGGTTGACACATGTCATCGTATCCCAATTGCGTAGATCGATGCTCATGCTGTTGATGACTCGATTGTCTGGTCCAATTATTTACAGACCTTCACCGTATGGCTGGAATATAGATAGCTGAGTGCGGCATAAAACTTAGATCACTCTATCGCTTACTCTAAATTTACAACTGCATATTTTGTCCTTCATTGTAAAGGAAGTTCACAGAGTTAGTAGATCAGTAGTCTTCCTCTTAGAAGAAGAAATGGTTTTGTGGATTGACAACTTAATTGTCACTTAATTTAACAAATTATTACATGCCAGGGCAATTCCTCATGATATTACTGAGTAGCTGTTAATACCAATTAAGGCCAGACCAATTTTATTTCTTGTTTTACTGTTTTTTGTCCTCAGAAAACCTAAAGGCAGGAGGGAAACAAAATCACCGGTCAAAGTAATATTCCTTCGAAATACTACGAAGGTTTTATTTTTTGCAATTTATGAAGTGTATGTATATGGGGCAAAAAACAATCTAAACAAAAATTTCCTGTAAGTTTTCATCTTTTGCAAATACAAACATTAGGATTTTATTTTTTGAGCAGGGAAATTTTTTAATTTTTTTTTCTTATTCTTAAAAAAATACAACCAGGGGATCCATAAAACAAGAAATAAAATTGGTCTGGCCTAATGGTGAATAAACTTTGTCCCCTCTTCTCCTACAGATACACCCAGGGTATTGCCTGAAACCAATTTTTGTGGGTTTGAATCCCGGTTCGCCCTGGGTTTGTAGGTTTGTCACCACCAGAGCCATGATCATTGGTTTTACTGAAGTGGTCAACATCTGAAACTTGCTTCACCTAAGGTATTCCTCCCACATAACTGGAAACAGTCTCCTCCAGGTTAGCTGGTATACGGTATGTTTATAGTGAACTCAAGAGACTTTCACCTACCCACACTGAAGTACAGTTGTCTCCCCTGGATGTTGCAGGAACTGAGGTAGCATGCAAGGAGTATAACGACGATGATGGATGAGGACAATGCTGCTGAGTACATCTTGGCCGTGGATGTTGGAACAACGACACTACGAGGTCACATCTACGACAAGAATGGAGTCAACAGAGGGACAAGCAGCAAGAAGGTGAGAGTCTATCACATCTCAATATGCCTTATAGGAAAGTCTAACATTTTTTTATGTAACACTTGACTTTTAGGTTGTCTTTTTAAAATACAAGTTCATGCAGATGTTTTTCTATTTCTTCCTACGAAAATTGAGATAAATTATCTATAGGTTACTATTATAGTATTTACAGTAATTCATTTTAAAAGTGACAATTTGCGAGTTTTCTTTGTTTGGCTTGTTTATGATGGTTGGAACTTTAGAAACACTCCCTTTTATTTCAAATCTTAATTATTATTTTTTCACATTTCAATATTTAAATTATTCATCCACATCTGCATCTCAATTTTCAGATGAATATTTATTGAAATGTGAAAAAAAAAAATCAAGTCCATATTCTATGTTTTCCGCAAATTAGACATTTGTCAGAGAGGACAGTATTTTGAATAGGGCTGCAACAATTAACCCAAACCTCGATTCGATTTTCGATTTTCAATCATTTTCGATTCGTTCTTCATACAAGTAAAAACATCAGATTTCATTTAACTCTCAGAGTCGGCTTTTTTAGTGTGAAATCCATCGTCAAGTAAGAGATGTCTACTAACAACAGTTCTCATTGGATAATTAGCCCGGTGTCAACCAATCACGTTTTGCCTTATTTCAACACTCGAAGCTGCTTGAGGTGAAGTCAAATATACGTTCTGACTGTGTGGAGATAATTTAAATAGGTATTGAAATATCGAATCGAAATAGTGATAATGGTTATTGAAAATCGAAACTAGGGTGTCAAATTCAATTTTCAATGAATCGAACCGAATCATTGCAGCCCTAGTTTTAAACACTCTATGTTCACTAGGACTTCAGACACTCAAGTGGATGGGTTTCTTGTACATAATTATCGAAGTTAACGACTGTCTCAAACATATTTTACATCACTCAGATCCCTGCTTCAATTCTTGAATGCAAACATCTTGATTTTCTGTGCCACATGCGTCACAATTTATTATGAGTTCCTTACAATGGCTGCAAATCACAAATGGTCCAGTCAAAATCTTGCTTACACATATTTACAGATATAGTAGTCATTGTTCACAGTTTGCTGCAACAATGATTCATGTATTGCAATACATACCACTATGAACCTGGCTCCGTGACTTCACATGAGCGCAGAATAACACAGAAAGAAATACTACCACATGCCATCTTTGTATATATCGTGTGTATTGAAAGACTGATGTTCCTTGTTAGATTGACATCCTGCACCCGAAAACAGGCTGGGCAGAAATGGACCCTGAGGTACTCTTCCTTCAGGTGAAACAGGTCATGCAGGAGAGTATCAGAGGTGAGAAATGAAATATGCAGGTATAAATAAGGAATTTAAATCAAATTTAGTCAAATGGGAGGCCCAGAAATTTAAAGATGACATAATTTGCTCTCCTGAACAGCATAGAGAGAATAACCGTGGTTTATGAATCATTGCTGAAAATGGCACTGGGGTAGCCTAGTGGTTAAAGCGTTGGCTCGTCACGCCAAAGACCCCGGGTTCAATTCCCCATGTGGGTACAATGTTTGAAGCCCATTTCTGGTGTCCCCCACCGTGATATTGCTGGAATATTGCTAAAAACTCACTCACTCGCTCACTGCCCAAAACTCAATCACAGCCTTGTCTTGTCAGACTCAATCAGTTACAATTACCACAGCCGGAATATTGGTCATAGGTGGATCCAGACCCCCTCTTTTGTCCTGAAAGTTTATTAAATGACCATTGAAACTCTCGTGAAAATGGGTGAAAATGAACTGTGCACCCCTCTTTCTCAAAAAGCTGTATCCGTTCTGTTGGTAAATATTGAGTTAAACTAACATGCGGGGTGATTACCTTTGATTCATTACATGACTTGATGAAGGTGAGCCCCAGTACCTACAGCTGCTTCTATATGTGTTACAGCTGCCAACATCACGGTTCAGCAGGTCAAGTGTATGGGCCTGGCAACTCAGAGGTCGACCTTCATGACATGGGATAGGTGAGGACATGAACATGATACAATCATTCCACAGACTGAATATTAGTAAGAATGTGTTGGGTTGTCTTTAAAGAGTGAGAAAGCTTATATTTTGTCTGTACCTTTGAGTATGTATTCAAAATGTGTATATCTGGTTCTTCTCATACTGAATATTCAAAATTTATGAGATTTTGAAATTGCCATAATGTTATCTAATTTGTTCATTGTAATTCATACAATTTTTTTATACACCATCCACAAAAAAATAATGTTCCGATACGAAAATGGATTTCAGTGATTCGCTTTTATTCTGTTGTATAATGATACAGTTGATGACATTTATCTGTGTCTGCACCTTTCACAATATCTCGAACATGTTTATCACCTTTTGCAGTAGTGTCTGCTAAATACTTGTGATGCGGTCATATTGCACAATATTTACTGACAAACTTGACATATTACATAGGCCACATTTCACATTGAAAAAGATTGCCCTTCAGTAGCAATGGAAAGGAACAGAGCTCATCCAGAGATATGGTAGCACTAATCAAAGGGACATAACTCTAAAAGTTGGCCCACACTAATCAAAGGGACATAACTCTAAGTATTCTGCTCAGGCAGGCATTTATCTCCCGCACTCATTTCATGTATTTAAAGCTACAAAACAGAGACTACATCTTTCAACATGGTGATAACTTCTCTTGAGATTGCATCTTTCTGCCATTTTCCAAAACTATTGCACGAGTGTTATTTTATTGAAGCTTTGAGGCATATAACCATACCAAATGTCTAATGAAGTTGCCCTGATGAATGCTGGAGAAGATTCAGGTCGGATGTGGTCTACATCAATGTTCGCTTCTCATAGACAGGTCATGGGAGGTCAAGTGATCCCACATTTCATCATATCTCAATTAAATAAATAAATCCTGGTGATTTCAATCACAGTATTATCGCGATTGTTAAATGACATACATCATATTGAACAAATAATCCAAACAAACATGAAATAAAGCTGATATTGCAATATTTAAACAGGTTTGAATTCTGATGAGGATAATGATAAATATCTTAACCTCAGTAGACTAACAGCTAGTCTCTGAAATGAACATATTTTACTGAAAAACGTTCATAGTAAAAAAAAATATATATAATGAAAAGGAGCCCTGAGACTTTCTTCATTTTCAGAAGCTGAGGAAATCTAGACTTGCCACATTTTCTAGACTTGCGTGGGCTTTCTTGGATATATTTGCTTCAGGGTCTGTACCACAGACTATAAGCTCACTGAAATCTCTGCCTGTGTTATGATATTTTTAAAACTTTCCCCCCCCCCCCCCAGGGAGACGGGTCGACCTTTCCACAATCTCATCACGTGGCAGGATCTCCGGGCATCTCATTACGTGACGGCGTGGAACAAGTCCTATACCCTCAAGGTACAAGCACTCAAGACACTGTCATGTAAACCATTGTTCATGTCATTTGATTGTTAGTTAGTGAGGTCAAGTAATGTCTCCCAGGAGAATAAAGTTGTATCACATTGCTTTTAAACCATTGTGACGTCATGACATCACAACCAAATGACATCACTAATTTCTCTGCCATTGATGCTTGTTGCGTGTGCTTTTCACACTCAAGATGCCTGATAAGGATACAATATTTACCTGAATAGCTTCCTTATTATTTTGTCTTTTGTTGTTCATCCATACAGCTGATCCTTACTAAGTGCCCAAGCTTCTAGATACCTTTTAGAAAATGTTGACAGTATGATTCTGAATGATATATAAAATTATTTGTGTTTTTGGGGTGTTTGGGGGAAATGCTTTTGGGGTTCAGTATAAATGTCTGGGCTTGCTGTGTAGGGTAAGAATTCTCTCACCTCAGTTGTAGATAAGAATTTTGAAAAGATTTCACTGTTAATGATCTGTAAAAACAATGGATCCTGTTTGAGAAGTTCAGAGATACAGATAATTTTTTGGGTCATTGAGTTACTCACTTGTGTTCATCTCAATTGGGTATTTTAATTTTCCTTTGAGTAACCAAATAAATTGAACCCACCTCACTCAAACTCATTTGGGTATTCTGCCATTTTCCATTACTTGTGAAAATAGGATAAAGTTTAAATGTTGGTTGACGAGTTTGATATTCATATTTGATCTGTAATATGAGAAACGATAAAAAAAGACTGCAAATTGCCAAGTTTGTGTGCTGAAATAGAACCTCTCAATATACCCCAGTTGTTTTTATCTATCCACGCAAGCTAACATTTGACTTTTTTGTGTGTACGCATGTAAGATCAAATTTGTTGAGTATTTACAAAACTTCAAGCGTATTTGTACGCAATAGGCTTTATAGGAATTGAGTTTTCACATAAATATTTGTGTACTTTACGCGGATCCGCAGCTTATATGTACCTCTGGAAGCTGCTATCATCATACATGTGAATTTCGCAATGACAGATTTCTTGGTGTGGTTATGTACAGATTTAAAGTATCTTCCGTATGTTTACACCAAGTGAAGCTGGAGACAGCCTGACAGACAGTAGTTTTGTTTTCCAGGCTCTCAACTCTGGCTCCAAGTTTCTCCACATCTTCACCAGGAAGAACAGGTACCTAGCTGCCAGCGTCCTCAAGTTCATGACCAAACAGGTGCAGGTTTAATTCAGCTTTTCCATTACCTAAATATATTGTGTGCTGACGGTTACAACATTCAAGACCTCAGTAAAACTTTCAAAAAGTTTCAGGGGCGGTGGGGAAGCTTAATGATTACAGCATCTGTTCGTCACACTGAAGACTTGGGTTCGTTTCCCCACATGGGTACAATGTGTGAAGCCCATTTCTGGTGTCCCCCTCCGTGATATTGCTGGAATATTGCTAAAAGTGACATGAAACCATACTCACTCACTCACTCAAAAAGTTTGATGGTAGATATTGTGAAACTATTAAAGCACCAGTGACAAATATGATCTCCACATTTTGACTTTTGGAATCCCCGAGTTGGTCTGAGTGTAATTAAATCACTGTACCAACCAAGATAGCCTGAATTTGAATCTTCTGCAAAAATGCCCCGAATTTGTTAACCAAGCTGTAGTTGTGAAAATGTGATTGATACCCAGCACAGACCTATGAAAGACCTTACGTGGGCGTAAATTGGTGGCTCCAGTTTGTATGAACTGTGCATGATGTACCTGTAGGCAATAAATGACTATCTTCCATGAGAGATATTCCATGTGTGAGTTCAAGGAGTTGTTTCCATGAAGTGACATCACCATGCTCCGTAGACCATTGTGATGTCATTAGTCACCATGTTGACACAAACAAATGACATCACATATTCCTCTGCTACGGAGGCTGGTTAGGGAAACTTTCCACAGTTAAACACTAAAGTACTGTCGGAAATGCTAGAAAAATGCTTTTTAGCCTTAATATCTTTATAAAGGTGATAAATGTACTATGTTGTCAATATATCAACTCGCCTATTGTCTACCTAATTTTTATTTCAATCGATTTAACATTCCCATGCATTTAAAGGGCAGTTTACAGGAGAGAATTTGGTACCAAAACAGCAACTAAAGATTTTTTCAGAGTTCAACAACAGAAATCTGAAATAGTCTTTACATTTATGCTAATAATACAGGTGGTGTAAAAATATGAATTAACGTTTATCCTAAACAAATAAATGTTGAATGTTTGTGTTACTTCACTAAAGTATCGTTTTCTTTATTGAAGAAATATTAATATAAATGTTAAGTCTTGATAAATAAGTTTCCCGTCATGCATGCACATCTTTATCACAGCGTCCACTATGGCCAACGATTTGCAGTCGATTGTTGCAAAGGTTTATAGTTTTTTTCTGCTTAAAAAACAGAGGTAAACCTTTCATTAGTTTAGAAAGGGTTTATTACAGAACTTGTAGAGCTGTTGGTATGTCTTACCAACAAGTTTACAATATTGTAAACAAATGAGACAAGACAGGGACCGTCTCAAATGCAAAACAGGGACGTAAAACCATCCTTGACAACTTTGACAAGGGAGTGCTTAGACGGGCGGTCTACAAACTTTATGAGAAGAAAAATATATATATTCTAAAGAAGCTACACCAGTGACTTCGTTAAATCTTTGGCCAATGTTCACAACTAGATTAAACTGACTGAATTACATCCATATTTTTTCAATGAAATATACTGTTGACAAGCAAAACATTTATTAAAAAACGTTGCACATTTCTACAAGCAGTCGATAAGATAACACAAGTGATAGGATTATTTCCAATGTACAGTAATTCGTATGTTTATTTCAAAACAAACACACATACACAAATGATCCCTTACATAACTGATCATTATACTATCGTACACATATTCAACATTTTGAAGAAAACATCTATTGAGATGACCCCTCGCCCCGAGCGTGTGCTCAGGTGTCAATTTCACCTGTCGATACCGTGCATGCTGATGACGTAACACAGGCAGTTAATGTTTGTTTCAAATAACGTCCAACTACCCCTTATTTTTCTAAGTTTTTTGTATTTTCATCAGTAAAAACACATTTTAGAGCATGTCTCAAAATTTATTCCCTCGGTCTACATTAGGTAGATGTTTCTTGAAGTGATATTTGTTATTTAAGTAACTGTAATACCTCTGAATTTTAAATATAAGTCAAAAAGCATTTTTCTAGCATTTCCGACAGTACTATAGTTATTACTGTTTCAGAATAAAACTTTAAAGTGAATGCTGTTTGGTGATAAATAGAATGTCACCCCTGCAATGTGAAATTTATCAACACACATCAATATAAATATTTAAGAGTTATAAAGTTTTATCACCTCGGGTAGATACAGATGATGTCCGAGTGTACATGTGACTTCATCCCTCATTGTGTCTTGGCTCCAGGTTACCATGAGGTTACTATGGGCTCTGGACAATATTCCCGAGGTAAGGCGTCTTCAGTATTCACTGCGAGTGTGACATCTGACTTAGGGACCGTTCATAATTCATGGCTTTGGGGGAGGGAGGGAGGGAGGGAGTGTGTGTGTGTGTGTGTGTGTGTGTGTGTGTGTGTGTGTGTGTGTGTGTGTGTGTGTGTGTGTGTGAGATGATTTCTTATGGACAAACATGTACAATGTGAATGACCCCACCACTAAACTTAATGTACAAATTTACTGACACCCCGCGTATCATGCACGCACGCACACACACACGTAAAGTTATCCCTCCTCCCATAATTATTAAGCAGAATTTTTGAATATTTTTATGTACCATATTGCTGGACCCCTAGTACATGTGTACAACTTGATGACACACAAAACCCCCACACCCCCATACCCCCACCCATACCTCCCCAGAACAAAATGGGTGACCCTCCTTAAAATCATCATCACACCACCACCACCAACCCCAGCGCCACCCCCAACCCCCAACCCCAACACATGGTCACTTAAATGGGTTTTTGCACACCCGTAAAAGTCTAAAGCAGTTAATTCGGTATACAAGTAATGTGTATATTTTCATTTATTTCCTGTGACAATTTATTTACTGTAGATATGGTCAGTTTAAACAGCATGTACATGTACAATCATGAAACATTGCAAAATTACAATCTTAATTGACATCTAATGAATAGAAACGTAATTCAAGGGATTATCGTCTTTTCTTTCAACCCTACCATTAATCGCCTTCTGTTATACTTCTTGAAGAAACATTTCCATGTGCAGTTAAGAGTCTTTTTACATGTAGTAAAAAATGTAATGACATTATTGGTTTCAGTGTGTGTTTTTTTTATTTCCCAGCTACGAAAGAGGGCTTTCGAGGATCAGGTGATGTTCGGGTGTATTGACACATGGCTGTTGTATTGCCTCACAGGAAAGAAGGTGCATGCCACAGACTACTCCAATGCCAGTTGTACAGGACTCTACGACCCTTTCCAGGTTAGTGATGCTGATGTGTGTAGCTCTCACGATGCCAAGGATGTCATACTGACCTTTGTGCTAACTGGGGGGAGTCACTGCAGACTCCTGCTTCCCTGTATCACTTGTAGATCTGATGCATAGTTGATTTCAACTGCCTCACGCTTGTATCTTCCCTTAGTGAGTCAGAGTAGATCCGTAATTCACACTGCTGGAAGTCATCCTCGTCCCATGTGTAGATTTGTGGAGTTGTATAATTCGTTACCACTGTCCCTGCAGAATAGGTCTCAAGTACCTCAGCATTTTGATGAGCATCTCGTCTGAGTGTAGCTTCTAGTGCATTGTTTGGCCATGTTAATAGCCGCATGTCCCAGCTGATGACTTATCTGTGACTCAAGCTTAACGTCCTACCTGTTCTTCATGTAGCGCATGTCCCAACTGATGACTTACCTGTGACTCAAGCTTGACGTCCTACCTGTTCTTCATGAAGCGCATGTCCCAGCTGATGACTTACCTGTGACTCAAGCTTGACGTCCTACCTGTTCTTCATGTAGCGGATGTCCCAACTGATGACTTATCTGTGACTCAAGCTTGACGTCCTACCTGTTCTTCATGTAGCTCATGTCCCAGCTGATGACTTACCTGTGACTCAAGCTTGACGTCCTACCTGTTCTTCATGTAGCTCATGTCCCAACTGATGACTTACCTGTGACTCAAGCTTGACGTCCTACCTGTTCTTCATGTAGCTCATGTCCCAACTGATGACTTACCTGTGACTCAAGCTTGACGTCCTACCTGTTCTTCATGTAGCTCATGTCCCAACTGATGACTTACCTGTGACTCAAGCTTAACGTCCTACCTGTTCTTCATGTAGCTCATGTCCCAACTGATGACTTACCTGTGACTCAAGCTTAACGTCCTACCTGTTCTTCATGTAGCTCATGTCCCAACTGATGACTTACCTGCAACTCAAGCTTGACGTCCTACCTGTTCTTCATGTAGCGCATGTCCCAACTGATGACTTACCTGTGACTCAAGCTTGACGTCCTACCTGTTCTTCATGTAGCGCATGTCCCAACTGATGACTTACCTGTGACTCAAGCTGATGTCCTAGATGTCGCATGTCCCAGCTGATGACTTACCTGTGACTCAAGCTTGACGTCCTACCTGTTCTTCATGTAGCGCATGTCCCAGCTGATGACTTATCTGTGACTCAAGCTTGGCGTCCTACCTGTTCTTCTTCATGTAGCATGTCCCAGCTGATGACTTACCTGTGACTCAAGCTTGACGTCCTACCTGTTCTTCATGTAGCGCATGTCCCAACTGATGACTTACCTGTGACTCAAGCTTGACGTCCTACCTGTTCTTCATGTAGCGCATGTCCCAACTGATGACTTACCTGTGACTCAAGCTTGACGTCCTACCTGTTCTTCATGTAGCTCATGTCCCAACTGATGACTTACCTGTGACTCAAGCTTAACGTCCTACCTGTTCTTCATGTAGCTCATGTCCCAACTGATGACTTACCTGTGACTCAAGCTTAACGTCCTACCTGTTCTTCATGTAGCTCATGTCCCAACTGATGACTTACCTGTGACTCAAGCTTGCGTCCTACCTGTTCTTCATGTAGCTCCCATGTCCCAACTGATGACTCCTACCTGTGACTCAAGCTTACCTGTGACGTCCTACCTGTTCTTCATGTAGCGCATGTCCCAGCTGATGACTTACCTGTGACTCAAGCTTGATGTCCTACCTGTTCTTCATGTAGCGCATGTCCCAGCTGATGACTTATCTGTGACTCAAGCTTGATGTCCTACCTGTTCTTCATGTAGCTCATGTCCCAGCTGATGACTTACCTGTGACTCAAGCTTGACGCGCTCATGTCCCTGCTGATGACTTACTTCACTCAAGCTTGGACGGCACCTGTTCTTCATGCTGATGTCCCAGCTGATGACTTACCTGTGACTCAAGCTTGATGTCCTACCTGTTCTTCATGTAGCTCATGTCCCAGCTGATGACTTACCTGTGACTCAAGCTTGACGTCCTACCTGTTCTTCATGTAGCGCATGTCCCAGCTGATGACTTACCTGTGACTCAAGCTTGACGTCCTACCTGTTCTTCATGTAGCTCATGTCCCAGCTGATGACTTATCTGTGACTCAAGCTTGACGTCCTACCTGTTCTTCATGTAGCGCATGTCCCAACTGATGACTTATCTGTGACTCAAGCTTGACGTCCTACCTGTTCTTCATGTAGCTCATGTCCCAGCTGATGACTTATCTGTGACTCAAGCTTGATGTCCTACCTGTTCTTCATGTAGCGCATGTCCCAGCTGATGACTTACCTGTGACTCAAGCTTGACGTCCTACCTGTTCTTCATGTATGCTCAGCTCATGTCTTACCTGTGACTCAGCTTGATGACCCAGCTGATGACTTACCTGTGACTCAAGCTTGACATCCTACCTGTTCTTCATGTTGTCATTTTCAACCTGCCGTCACTTGTGGAACTTTTTGATTTCTGGATTTTGACCTCACAGTTGCTCACAGCAACTTTACATTGAATTGAATGTGTGAATGTTGGTTTTTTCAGTTAATCACTTCTGTTTTGGATCTTTCTGTAATAAACTTAAAATATACTTCAGGTAAGCCATGGATTTGTTGGATTTCAGGTTGAGTGGAGTAAAATAGTCTGCAACATGGTGAACATTCCAATGTCAATGCTGCCAGAGGTGAAGGACACAAGGTGAGGAAGTCACATGACTTTAATGGCCTATGTCAAATATTTCATGAGGTTTTTCAAGTGTATTGTCTTTTTGAGAAGGTCAATTAACTTACCTGTTACCCTAGCAGCACCTTTGGAACATCCCCTTCATGTAAATATCAGTACATACTGTTCACAGTGACCTTCAGAGGTGTATGTGGGTGGTTATAGCAGTCATTGCCAGATGTCAGAATTGGATTACCAATGAGTGTACAATGGGTGAAGTCCATATCTGTTGTGTCCCACTGTTTTATTGCTGTAATTTTGCTAAAAGTATCGTAAAATCAAACATTCCCACTCACTGTCGTGAAAATCAACCACAGTACACTCTAGCCTGTTGTTCTAAGTTTACTAGGGGCGGTGGGGTAGCCTAGTGGTTAAAATGCGTTCACTCATCATGCCAAGGACCCGGGTTCAATTCCCCACATGGGCACAATGTGTGAAGCCCATTTTTGGTGTCCCCAGCCGTGATATTGCTGGAATAGTGATATAAGTGACATAAAGCTAAACTCACTCACTCTGTCTACTATGATGTCTGTCTAGTAAGCCTCCAGTTATTTATCAGTAAGTACCAGTAAGTGTACACAGTCTGAAGTCCAGTTTTGTTGTGTCCCACTGTTTTATTGCTGTATTTTTGCTAAAAGTGTCATAAAACCAAACTCTCCCACTCACTGCTGTGAAAATCAACCACAGAACACTCTAGCCTGTAGAGTAAGTCTACTATAACACTGGGGCGTCGGGGTAGCCTAGTGGTTAAAGCGTTCGCTCGTCACGCCGAAGACCTGGGTTCGATTCCCCACATGGGTAAAATGTGTGAAGCCCATTTCAGGTGTCCCCCGCTGTGATATTGCTGGAATATTGCTAAAAAGCGGCGTAAAACCATACTCACTCACTCACTGCTATAACACCCGTCTAGCAAGTCTCCACTGGACCGCCTCCTTGGTGTAGTGGTTAGAGCGTCCGCCCGGAGACCGGAAGGTCGCGGGTTCTATCCCCGACCGCGTCATACCAAAAGACGTTAAAATATGGTACTTGTTGGTCCCTGCCTGGCGCTCGACATTAATGGGTACAACAAGGACTGGTCGGCTCGGAGTCAGTATAATGTGTCTGAGTGGGGTATTCATGCTTTACTGCGGCATGGTATCTCAGTGGGCTAGCACTATAAAACCAGCTTCAGTCTGGGCTAGTACAAGCAGTCACACATACACATACACACACATGCACGTCGTCATATGAGCGAAATATTCTCAAGCACGACGTTAAACCCAATTTCACCTCACCTCCACTGATTTATCCCCTGATCAACACAAGACAACGACAAAACAATGCTGACACTCAGACTGCTATACTGAATGCAGGGGTATCAGACATGCACATCATTCAGCCAAAACCACAGGTTTGAGGCTAAAATTATAATCAGTGCCTGTTCTCAAATTGAGCAAATTGTTTACGTGCAGTTACTTTGAGTTCTGTAGTGAGGCTACACTGACCAATAAGAGCCATGTTTTCAATTCACATAATGTTAAACTATCCATATCTCATTGATATATCTCTCTGATTGGTTTCTATGTTAAAACAGTCTCAAGTCAACAACCAAATCCACTGAAGCTGTTTACCCTGCATCAATCTTAGAGGAAACCTCTACCCATTTGATGTGTCAGATTGTTTTGATGTCATAACTTAATCTGAACTCTTCTCCTTTTAGTGGCATGTTTGGGCAAGTCCATCCCGATATTCTGGGACAGTCCATTCCAATAACTGCTTCAGTAAGTCGAAGATATATTTGGGTACTTTGAAATCAGATAATAATTTTTTTACATTTTTACCCTATATTTTACATATTTTGCTCCACCTCTTAAGAGATTTACTATTGATAATCTATCCCAAAATATTCAATTTAAATGAACTGTATAATTTGTCAAGTTAATGTAAAGTCAAAACATGTAAAACTGTGTTATGTTCTCTGTGAAGTTAGTGTGTCCATGTCCAAGCTTGCAGATGTTTCATCAGCAGGTCAGACCAGAGGTCACTGAGGTCAAACCCAACTGTTTGGATTGTTACTGACAATATCAATCACTTGATTGTCTGGTCTGACTCGATTATTTACAGGCCACTTTCAAATAGCTGGAATATTGCTGAGTGAGTGCAGAATTTAGAAAGAAATAACGAAAGGTTGAGTGTATTATTATGTGCAAGGACCTAATTTCACTTGTCTTAGTTACAGCTAGTGCTAGAAAAAGCAAAACTGTTTGCTTAGTAAGATTCAATTCCATTTTGTAGCCAGATTGAAACAGATGAGACCTAGCTCCTAGTTAACACCATTGATCAGTGAGGTCTATATTGGATGTTTGCTTGTACTCAGTACAAGTTGGTAATATCAGTACGGCGGACTAGAGTGAATTTCAAAAACCCTGTGAGATATGGCGGGGATGTTGACAAATGAGATGTTAAAACTGACTCCATAACGTCAGGTTGCCGACCAGCAGGGCGCCATGTTTGGACAGTGCTGTTTCGAGGTTGGCGACATCAAGTGCACCATGGGAACTGGGACATTCATTGACCTCAACACTGGGAACAAGCCTCATGCATCTGTCGCAGGTTGGGGGATTGTTTTCACCTTTCTTTCGAATTGGCATTGTTAAAAAAACAAAGCAAACTCTGTGTATATTTCTGAAGAATTGAATTTGATGCATTTTCTGACAGCTTGATGTTTTTAAAATTTTTGTGATGTGAACTAGTTGATATTCGCATTTATAACACAATTTGTTCTCATCCATGAGGTGAGGTGTTTCTTGACAAGGAAAGAAAAATATTTTGTATATTTTCTTACTTATCTTCATAATGCATCTATGAAAGTAATGGTGTCATAAAAGCAGAATGAAAGGAAATCAAATGTAAAGTGTTACATCTCTTAACAGCCTTGATAATATCCAGGGTATACATTCTGATAAATCTCCACTAGTACCCTGGATGCATCTACAGCTCGGTGCGATAATTCTATTACCTCCCTTTGCTGGCTCCGCCTTCTCACAGTAGCCAATCAGATAAGTCGTTACAACCGTGCTTGCCAGTGTCAACAAAGATGGCTGCTGCAGCTGCGAAGGTTTGCTCGCTGTACTACTCACATTTAGGGAAATAATCATACAGACAAACTGACAAGTGTGAAACCTGCAAAAAAATATATGCAAGGACTCCTACCTCTTTCAGTTAATCAGTTACAAAGCGAGTTATGATAAAAGCCTTGTGACCAGCGTAGACACATGATTGAACAAAAACTTGAGCCAAGGGAGCCATAGATGTATCCAGGTATATGTGGAGATTTATCAAAACATATTTTCTGGAGATTATCGAGGATGATCTCTCAAGTGAAACAGAGTTTTGTAGTCTCAGATAAAACAAAAGAGTTGTTAGTGATGCTCCATAACCAACCATTCACTCTCACTCACTCACTCACTCACTCACTCACTCACCTAAACACACACCCACCCACCCACTCACTCACTCACTCACCCACCCACTCACTCACTCACTGAGTGTATATTTCAGGCCTGTACCCCATCATCGGGTGGAAGATCAAGGGCGAACTGACGTATCTCGCGGAGGGCCTGGCTGCCGACACAGGGATCACGCTGGAGTGGGCCAAGTCTCTAGGTACACAGTGTTACAACCACAGCAACCGGGCTGTAACAGTGTATTTTGATAGTCAATTATATTTTTTTATGAAGATCTGTGATGCCTATTAGACGTAACTTCACAGGTGATAATGCAGAATGAAATAAGGTTTATAGAGCATCTGAACTATCACAGTTAAAAAGTGCAGAAAACCGACTTTTGACAATTTCCTAAATGGGCTAAAAAATCTTATATCAATCGAAAGATACATAGCCAGGAAAAATAACATGGCAAAGTTATTGGCCAGAAGAAATGGCCGAATGAAACTGAAGTTATATAGCCTTAGTCTGACTATGCTTTCTCTTATGTGTGTACTATGCACTACTTATTATCCCCCACTTCGTGCGTTTAGCGCGGAGCGGGGGATATAGTATTAGGCTCTGTCCGCATGTACGTAAGAATTGGAATATCTTAAGTACCGTTGACTGGAGTCTTTTCATATTTGGTACCTAGGTTCATCACAGTAAAAGAAAGGTTCCAGTCAGGTTTGGTGACCTTGACCTTCATTTCAAGGTCACAAGGGGACTTTAACGTTTTACCATTGTCAGCGGGATATCCCAAGAACCATTCACTGGATTTTCTTCATATTCAAAACCAAGCTTTATTTAGGGAATGCGCAGAGCCCAGTCAATTTTGGTGACCTTCACTAAATTTTCAAGGTCATGGCGACACTTTGAAGATTTCAGCATGTTAGACTGCATGTTAAGATTGTCAGCGAGATATCTCATGAACAATTCACGCGATTTTCTTCATAGACTTTCAAGACTTCCCTTGAATGTTTTTCAATAAGCAATTTCTTTATTACTATCTTTGCATATTTCGTACACTAAGACATTTATGTCAAGGTCAAAGTAAGTCTTGAAAATATTTGTGCGTTTGAACAACTACAGATCAAGATATCAAGGTTGACTGGTCATGTTTTTGTTGACATTTAACTTCATCTTAAATTATGACCTTGACTTTCATTATTTTTTATCCCCCGCAACGCGTTTTGCGTTTTGCGGGGGGTATTAAAATGGACTCCGTCCGTCCGTCTGTGCACATTTGTCTTTTCGGAGCAGAACTCTAAAACCGTTCTATATTTCTTCACCAAACTTGGCACATAGATAGATCTGGTGGTGTACTGGCGCCTTTTGGTAGTTTTGGAATTCTGAATAAAACATTTTTGGCGTTTCCATGGCAACAAGTTCGACTTAGAATGAAATTGGTGGTAGTGTTCTTTTCCGGAGCAGAACTCTAAAACCGTTCTCTAATTCTTCACCAAACTTGGCACATAGATAGATCTGGTGTTGTACTGGTGCCTTTTGGTAGTTTTGGAATTCTGAATAAAATATTTTTGGCATTTCCGTGGCAACATGTTTGACTTAGCCTGAAATTGGTGGTAGTACACTTTTCTGGAGCTGAACTCTAAAACCGTTCACTATTTCTTCACCAAACTTGGCACATAGATAGATCTGGTGGTGTACTGGTGCCTTTTGGTAGTTTTGGAATTCTGAATAAAATATTTTTGGCTTTTCCGTGGCAACAACTTTGACTAAAACAGAAATTAGTGGTAGTGCACGTTTCCGGAGCAGAACTCTAAAACCGTTCACTATTTCTTCATCAAACTTGGCACATAGATAGATCTGGTGGTGTTCTGGTGCCTTTTGGTAGTTTTGGACTTCTGAATAAAATATTTTTGGCATTTCCACGGCAACAAGCTTGACATAGACTGAAATTGGTGATAGTGCTCCTTTCTGGAGCAGAACTTTAAAAACCTTTCAATACTCTCCTTCCACTTTTCTATATACACACCTAAATATTTGACATAATCATAACTTGTAGACATAATCATGAAGAGTATTTTGCCATTGCGGGGGATATTGATGACTTTGTCTTCTTGTTAAGTTTGATTTGATAATTTGCGGCGGGGGATTATGTCACCTTAGTGACAATGCTTGTTGTATTTGTTACTCTATACTATATTGTATGTTATCCAACAGATCCATTCCATTGTGCCACATTCGTATATTTTTGTATATGCTCCACTGAATGAATAAAAATATTTTTACAAAAGAAAGAAAAAAGTACAAAAAAATATACAGTAAACATGAAATACGCTTGTGCATCTGTACGATGTGTCCATGTAACATGGGGGTGTTCAGTATCAATACACACAGCTAATACACTTTTTCCAGGTTTCTTTGAAGATGTAACCGAGACAGCCAATATTGCCAACAGTGTAGAAGGTATGTACTACAGGTGTAGACATTCTCCTGTGGATAGCTAACCCGTGAGTGAACCTTCAGTAACCCATGCTTGTCGTAAGAGGCGACTAACGGGATCGGGTGGTCAGGCTCACTGGCTTGGTTGATACATGCCATCGGTTCCCAGTTGCGCACATCGATGCTCATGCTGTTGATCACTGGATTGTGCGGCGTAAAACTCAACTCACTCACTCACTCTATGGATAGCTTGGTAGGCAGTGTCACATGCAGTCAACACGAAGAGTCATTGCTGCATTGATGCCTGTAAATTGAGTAGGACTACTAGGAGCACATGCTGATTGGTGTAAAACTAACACTTGCATCTTTCATTGTGTCCTTGTATACATTAGAGATTCTTTTGTTTTCAAATTTTAAATAACTGTGCCATGTGGTACAGCCAATATCAAGTTGAATCAATGTTCATTAAAATAACTTGGATTTGTTTATTTTCTCCGAAATGTTATGAGTTTTGTGAAATGTTGGGGCATCATTATGAACGTCCTCTGAACCGTTAACGTTTTGTTTTACAGATTCTGCGGGTGTGTGCTTCGTCCCTGCGTTCAGTGGACTCCAGGTACTGATGTTCTGGTCTTTATCACTAAAGTCAGCATGTACCCAATGTTGAAGCTGACAGACAATATTCAGTGGCATATATAGAGGATATTATATGAGTGCCCTTGTCATACTATGTTTACGACACAAGTGCCTAAATATGTCCCGAGCGAGAGCGAGGGATATACCGATATTTGGGCACGAGTGTCATAAACATAGTATGATATGGGCTTGAATATAATATTCTGTTTATTACCAAAGCCGTCAAATTGAGGAAAATAAACACAAATCTACTTTCAAACACAGGCTGGCTACCTGCCGTCGCTGCATGTAGAACGCAACGTCACAGAAGAAACTTGACGTCATAGCCTTGTTCATGACGTCACGTCATCATGACAAAGTGATATTTTGCCCTAGGGCATCATATGAAAAATATGAACCCCGATATGTTCGCCCTCGTAGGTAATAAATTAATCGTCCCTCTCTGCACACCACTCAAACAACAAAGCATGACACAGGGATAGAAATACTTTTTTTTTAAGTGTGCCTTAGGGCACCAGACAAATATTTTAGGTGTGCCTTTCAGAAATCGAGTATGCCCACATGTTCTTAGAATAAATGACCATGATGATGATCATTTGAAATTTATTGTTAAATAAAGAAATGGATTTATGAGCATTCAGATATGTATGATATTATTCAATTTGGAAGAAAATAATTGTTTGGGGGATTAAATGACTAAATTTGAGTTATGTCTCTAAAACATTAGGCGTGTCAAAAGGGCACCGAGAACATTTTTTATCCGTGCCATTTCAATATTTACCGTGCCATGGCACACTAATATATGGGGTATTTCGAACCTTGATGACAGATTGAATATAAGTTCTCTGAGTGGCATCGTTTAGCAGTTGGAGAGTGATATACAGACAAACTTTATGGATAAACAACTTCTTTATTCTGTAGATGCGACGTTTCGATACAGATTCTTGTATTATTGTCAAGCAACGATACAAGAATCTGTATAGAAACTTACACATACATGAGTTTATACTGTGTGTAGACCATGAACACTATTGACCTTTGACCTAGAGGTAACCTTAATGTTGACTTGTCACCTCCCCTTGGACAACAAAGTACACTGCGATTGAGACATATTCAACAAACTTGATGTTGATCTCAACAGGCACCAATAAATGATGACCGTGCTGCTACCTCAATTATTGGCCTAACGCCCAATGCCACGAAGGCCCACATCGTCCGAGCCATGCTGGAATCACTGGCCTTCAGGTTCAAGGTCTTGTATGAAACGGTGCTAGTGGAGACGAAGATTCCTCTGTCGTATGTCAGGTCAGTAGATAGTTCACTGTGCTGAATATGCTCACTATTTGTATGCCAGCTCGAGATCCTTTACATCCATTTCCATGTTCGAAACTTAAAATTGTTGATTAATGTTGTTTTAGATTTGATTTGATTTGATTTTTTTATATATAATATGAGATGAATATAGTTTTGTAAATAAGGCCTCCAATTTCACTCTTCCTCAGATTTTCTAGGGTCCTCAAGGTCAGTTTTTATCTACCCATAAAGATCCCGGTTTGAATTGCTCTTTCGCAACCCATGCTGTGACTAACCGGATCTGTTGGTCAGGCTCGCTGTCTTGATTGATTCATGCCATCGTATCCCAATTGCGTAGATTGATGCTCATGTTGTTGATCACTGTCTGACTGACGCCTTATTGCTGAGCGCGCACTCTGATAAACAAAACCGTTTTTATCCTTTACATCCGTAACACAATATATGACAACTGAACCTTGAACATGTACAGAGCTGACGACGGCGGTGTGTGTAGCAACGACTTCATTATGCAGCTGATGTCGAGCCTCGTCAACACCAGCATCGACCGTTCCAAGCAGCCAGACATGACAAGCCTTGGGGCAGCCTTCCTGGCAGGACTTGCAGCAGGTGACCTTTGGCCTCCCTTACTCTCTCACTCTCTCATTCCCTCTAACTGTATCTGGGGCGGTGGGGTAGCCTAGTGGTTAAAGCGTTGGCTCGTCAGGCCGAAGACCCGGGTTCGATTCCCCACATGGGCACAATGTGTTAAGCCCATTTCTGGTGTCCCCCGCCGTGATATTGCTGGAATATTGCTAAAAGCGGCGTAAAACTAAACTCAGTCAGTCAGTCAGTCTAACTGTATCTCAGTCACTCATTCACCAACTCGTTTGCTCCTTAACTCACTCACCTTGTACCATCCTTACCGAATTCTGCTTCATCATCATCATCATCATCATCATCATCATTGTTTATTATTATTGTAGGTGTGTGGGAAAGCAAGGAACAGCTCTGCCATCTCCGAAAGTCCGGCCGAGTGTTTGAGCCCCAGTCAGTTTGGTCTCAATACAAAGACATTTATCGGCAGTGGGAGCGTGCAGTAACGAGATCCCTGCAGTGGTACCGTGAAGCTGATAGCTGACAGAAACTGTGTCGCCACGAACCAGGGCGACCGTTGACGGAAATGTCAGCTTTACATAACAGTCAGCAATCCAGTATATTATCAACCATGGTTGCCATAGGAATGGTGGGCTGTTTGATATTAGCGGTTGTGTGGAGAATAGCAGATTCGTGAATCTAGAATGAAATGGTTATTTCAACTGAGGTTTCAATGTAATTTGAGATATTACTCAATTATATGCTTTCAAATTAATTGAGGAATATCGAAGAAAAGGAATAATGCTCAATATTTTTTCAGTGATCTATTCCACAACCACTAATATATGCTACTCTAAAGACATTAAGAACACAAGTTTTTCCATTGCGTCTGTTGATCTGTTGAGGCATATGGGTAATGCAACACAGTGTCCCAGTTGTGAGTGTTCTTAACTTAATTTGAGTAGTATACTGCAGATGTCAAAGGTGCTGTAACTCTGTACAGAGTTTCCACCCCTACCTGTTCTAGGATGTGCTGCTGATCTGTTTTGAAAACCATACTATGCACATGTTCTTAACAAGAGTGGTAATACAAGAGCATATAACCAGCATCTCTCCTGTCAAGACAAACGTACAAAGATCGATAGTACAACTGCAGTTCACTCCCTCCACAATCAGAACCAGTCGTCCATGATGAGGAATACTAGTTCCCCCAATGCCTCACGACATGGCGTATGTGAACACTTCCTGGTTGTCTGAATATCACATGAATTGTGAACCTTAACTATTGTTGAGTAGTATTCTTGTTAAAAGTTCCTGATCTCCGTTCATTGTAATTCTAAGGCATTGAGCATGTTTGTTACCTAATGTGCACATTCCAGATGCAATCTTCAAACTTTGAATCAATGAATCATGAATCAATGAACTGAACAGATGTGAGTGAGTGAGTGAGTGTTTTGTTAGTTGTGCATTTGTGCCTGTACCAAGTGTGCCTTCCAGAGATGTCGTCTCTAAAATTTAAGATATTTTATATTTAGTAGATAAACATACTGTGTTGGAAAGTCAGAGATATATAACGAAATTATTATAGCTCTAAATTTGATTTAAAACCGAGCATATGGTGTGACAAAAATTAGAGCTATTATAATTTCATTATATACCTCTGATTTTCCAACACAGTATGTTTATCTCCATTCTACCATAACTGTGTTCTGAAGATTTAAAACAAAATATATGCTGTGTTGGAAAATGAGATTATATGTAACAGGATTATGTACCTGTGAATGACTTTGATAAACCTACAATCCAGTATTTACCGAAGTCATGGTAGAATTCCCGATATAATGTATGGGACATGTTTGTGAACAAATAGTCTAACCAATCAATCAAACTTGCATTAACCAATGCCTGTATATCTTACCGGGGTACCCATATACTGCTGACTCAACGTTGTGGGAGTTTTGTATTTACTTGTTTTGCAGAGACATCTCAAGCAATATTAGCAGAGCAAGTCACTGAATTTCCATCCCACCAGGTACCCATATACTGCTGACTGAACATTGTGGGAGTTTTGTAGCTACTTGTCTTGCAGTGAAACATCAAGCAATATTATCAGAGCACTGAAATCCGATCCCACCAGGTACTCGTTTACTACTTGCTAGAGTTTTATATGGAATCTGATCGAACAACCACGTTTGATTGGCAACAGTTAAATTGATACTTTAAAGTTAGATCATGTAATATACTTAACAGACATGCCATGTTTTACGACTGTCACAAGCTACGAGCTATTTTGAGGAGTTGAAGTAACCTTGGACGATGTTTTGATATCAACATTTGTTTTTTGTTGGTTGTATCTGTAATATTGTCCAAGGTTGTTCAACAATGACTCTTTACTTCCTCACATGTTTTGTATGGTATGTGGACCAGGGTTAGGGTAGGTCACTAGATTTCTCTTGCTCGCCATTCAGAGGTGAACAAACTGACTGTGTGTCGTTGTATCCTGAAGATGTGGGACATCGCTTGTTATGTCAGTCAGTGATCGGTCTGGTTCGGAATTGATGATTTCAGGCATTATCATGTAGCTTAGTATTGCAGCAGAATTAAACAGGAAATCTTTATGTAGAGAGTAATGTCCGAGTAAGTCTCCATTCCTTAAAAATATTTTTAAGGAATGGAGACTTACTCGGACATTAACCTACTTAAATTACATTCAAAGTATTGGGAATATTTCTGTTATCAAAATTAAATGTCAAGATGACAAAATGAAGGCCTTAATTTGAAACTGGTACACATCGCTCCATTCCTGAAAAGTAATGGAGCGAGCAGACAATGGAATGACGTCACAAATGTAATTTAATTACATGTCCATTTTCAATACACCCATCATGTAATATGAACAAATGACCATGTGCACCAACAAGAGCTTGGAGCCAAAGAACTCTTCAGTATAATGTGTTTATGTGGTGTGGGTCATATGCTGGAAAGAAATCAGTGTTATATTATTGTTTGAATGTTTTCTCATTTCAGGGTATGAATTCAGCGAGATGTTAAGTTTGGACTATGTTAATCATTAAGTTTACTGCTTTTCTTTTTGTTATGACAAAGGTGAACATTTTAGTGACGTCAATAATTTAATATTTTGTTAATAAATAGAGATTGTCGTTGTTGAACATGGGTTTGTGTGAAGTTCTAGCAATGTGAATATTCTAGAACCTGCAGAGCTCCAGATAAGATTTAGCTGATGTGGGTACTGTACCCACTGTATTTTTTTCGAGTGGGTATTATGAATGTTGAGTGGGTATATCATGTTCCGTTACCCACTGCTTTTAAATATGTGCATATTTCAGTCATTTACTCACCTGAGTATTGTGTCATTGAGTAAGTTTACTAAGCAGGTATGTTCTGCCTTATGTCATACCTAATCAAAACCAACTTAAATATAAGGGAAATGATTTCATAAAAAAACGCGCTCATCCTATACTAACAGTACAACTTGATAGCAATCGATGTCTCTTTCATTACGCAAGCGATTTTTATAAATATATTCTGTACGCATTTGTTTTAAACTCTTTGCGTATCTAACTGTTTATGTGCGTAATTGGTACGCAACAATTATTTTTCAATGCGTAATTGGAAATTTTCTATGCATATTTTACCCGGATACGCAGCTTATCTGGGCCTCTGAACCTGTACACCACAATCAAATAGTTCACGGAACTGACGTTCCATTTGCAAACCACACACGTTTTCTAATAGCGCCGCTATTTACACTTTCAGTTTTTTATTGTAGACATTGTAGAAATTTGAGATGTCATTGTGTCATCTCAAAACATTCAACATTCAGAGTTTTACATTCTGAGAACAATCATTTATATTATTTTGGTATTAAAAATGAGTTCCTTGTCAATCGAGGATATATATTTTACATATTGCAATACTGCCATAGTTTAGAAGAAACTCCATATAGTCTTGGTTCCGTGATACTTATAATGCCTATATTCATAATAATTAGCATGCCTTTTCTTGTCAGTTGGTAGCAGGGCAGTAGTTTTAGAAGTGTATGGTACTGTTGTTTACTTAAATTAACTCAAATCTTTGCTGATTTTTTATCAAACTGTTATGATTAAGATAACAAAGATCATATCCAAAGATCATGTTTTAAAATAAGCTACAATATTTATTATTAATTAGTTCTCAATTATGTTTGTAAACGTGAGGCGGGAGGTAGTACATTTGTTATGCGTCATTTTTCAATCAAACTGCTCTTGGCAGCTGTCAGCAGGTGTGAATGACATGAGTGAATATGGTTTTACGCCTCTTTTAGCAATATTCCAGCAACATCACGGCGGGGGACACCAGAAATGGGCTTCACACATTGTACCCATATGGGGAATCGAACCCGGGCCTTCGGCGTGACGAGTGGATGATTTAACCACGAGGCTGCCCCACTGCCCCGTGCGAATGACAAGAAGCATGAAGACTGTTGACTACTCTACAGAAGAGACGCATCACCTAGGTTCCGCTGATTAACCAGGGTGTTGTGAATGTATTAGGTAATCCTTAACTTCTTTTGTGTAGTATATATATCAAAGAAAGAAACCCGGGCAGTGTAGTAATATTCAAACTCTGTAGCAATTAGGAGTTGGGCTTGTTGAAGTAGTCACTCGTCATGCTGGAGAACTGATGTGGTTTCCCACATGGGCAGCCTGTTAGCCATTGCTGGTGTCCCCGGCCACGATATTGCTCAAGTATTGAATAGGTTACAATTATATGTCTAATGCCATCTTATATATAACCAGTAGCAATATCTGTTGCACCAGCAGTGTACAAACAGTTGTAGTGCTGTATGACAGGATTTTGTATATTGACTTACGATGCAATGTCCATCCATCCAGGTTGATAAGCACTGAATTGTTTTTCTTACACTTTTGTAAAATTGAATGAATAAAAAATGTCTCCCTGACTAATTCTGTTTGTTTGGAGTAGTACAGATAGCTTAGTGGTTTTGATGAAAGAGGATTATATAATGCAAGTTGGAACAAGTGTTTGCCACTGATGTGGCAATGTTGTCCCCCGCCGCTAAAGAATGGAATATCTATATTTACTACTTTTTATTTTTGGGTCACATACAAGATGCCTGAAATGACTGGTGTCTGCATAATCACCCAATGTAGGCTGTCAACATACTCGAAAACATTGGGTGCAATGTTTTATGAGATATCGCCTTTAAAAAGCGGTCAAAGTATCGTGGTGACCTTGAAGATAAGGTCAAGGTCACCCAAATTAACTGGTGTCTGCGTAATCCCCCAATGTAGGCTGTCACCAAATTTGAAGACATTGGGTACAACAGTCGATGAGATGCTGTGTTAAGAAGAGTTTATAAAGTGTTCAAAGTGTCGTGGTGACCTTGAAAATAAGGTCACGGTCACCCAAATAAACTGGTGTCTGCGTAATACCCCAATGATAACTCTCACCAAATTTGATGACATTGGGTACAACAGTCCATGAGAAATCGCGTTAACAAGAGTTTGAAAAGTGGTCAAAGTGTCGTGGTGACCTTGAAAATAAGGTCGTCACCCAAATCGACTGGTGTCTGCATAATCCCCCAATGTAGGCTGTCACCAAATTTGAAGACATTGGGTGCAACAGTTCATGAGATATCGCGTTAACAAGAATCGGGACGTACGGACGCCACTGAATACAGTCCCCCGTTCCGCGTTGCGACGGGGGACAATTAATCTGCATCATGTGATGATGAATTGATGATAAAAACAGGATCTGCCGAATGTTGGTTCAAATCCCATATGACCATCATGCATATAAAAACAAAACAAATTCTGTACTTCTTTCATTTTATTGTTTGCGGCTACACACCAACCTAAGTGGCAGAGCAGCGTTGCCTACACAAAGGGCTCTGAATACATGTACACAAGGCAGTTCACTATCACCTACACAAGTATACTGGCGTACTGCATCTATACAAGTATCACATATACTCACAGCCCTAACACATCTGGAATGTTATTACAAGGTAGATATGGTTCCAAGGGCAGGTGCCAACATCAATATTTTCTATGACATATATGATGCGTACTTACCTGGATTTCAATCCACAAAAGAATTAATAAGTTATTTTTTAAAAGATTATTTCACGGCATTACAGGAAAATGTGTATCCAATATATAATGCATCACGCATACCACTCGTTTAACAACTGCTGATCAGCGTGAGGGACTAAGTTCAGTTTTGATGCCAGCCACCATTCCTCTGCAAAGCTATTGACACTGATCATGGTTGTGAGAGTAGGGGTGTGTGCGAGGACCTGGTGTGACTATCACAGTCTTCCCTTGGAAAGTGAGCCAGTATGGTTTATCACCACTTATTGGCTGCAATGTTCAAGCCATATCACACAGAGGGTGACACAAATGAGAGTTTCACACACTGTACTCCTGGGTGAATCAAACCCAGGATGTCAGTGTGGCAAGCTAACACTTCAACCACTATGCCAAATTTGGGAAAGATTTCCACAAGCTTGACAATTCATGGTTAACCCCTAAATATGGGCATTCACTTCAGTAGATTTACCATTACTAACTATCGTTTTGGGCTCTTAATCTTTTAACCTTTAAATACATTCCTGAACAACACTGACACTACAATAAATGAATCAAAAGGATGGACCCTCGTGTAAGCAAAATGGGGCTAAGTGCAATGGATGGATTATAGCACTATATTCCTTTGTACAAACAATAACTAGATATTATCTCTCACCAGTGGAGGTTTGACATACTCTGTGTTTCTGAAATCAGAGACAATGGACCATCATTTGAAGTTAGAAACTCTCATGAAATCATTGTTATCAATAAAGAATTTTACTTTCTTATTGCTCGCCAACTTCTAAAATGTCAACCAAACAGATCTCATGAAATCACTGAAGAAACTCGAGGTTAGAATGGTTTGGAATTCATCTGACGTATGCCTTGTCAAGGGTTGACACATCAACCACCATGATAAATACAAACATATAATACTTGGGTTGCCATTTAATATAAATACAACATAAACATTGCAGTGATGAGACATATCGAGACCTTCACAAGATGGACTGCACAGCCTGCTCCACCATCAGCTACATGGCCAAGGTCCCAAGCCATGATCTTCACACTACGACTGTCGTAAGTCTACACTAAACTATGAGTACAACTCTAGGGGAGATAACGCTCATTTGTTTTAATTCTTGCGAAGTGTGCTGTTTTTGTAATTGAATTGTAATGCTCAACATGACTGATTAGAAGCTGTATACCACTAATATGTTGTATTGCTGAGTTGAAGGATTCCTTGACAAAAAGGGCACTTTGATCACTAGAATGGCCAAGTGCTCTCTCAAGGTGATCGGAGCCTATGGTTATCTTCATTCCCAGACTGTGACAGAGGCTTACCACAGTTGTAGTTCTATGATCACTTCATGGCCCAGTGAAAGTGATTGTTACTAAATATACTTGCAACTCCAAGACAGTTGTCACAGGAGAATCCTTATTCATACTGGCACCGTGTATTAAAACTGGCACCCTGCTGGCCTCACTCACACTAGATATTATGTGAGTGAGTGAGTGAGCCTAGTTTTATGCTGCACTCAGCAATATTCCAGCTATATCACGGCGGTCTGTAAATAATCGGGTCTGTAGAGGATGTTCTGTAACTTGTATGGTCATGAGCAGTAGGGAGTCAGCAAACCACTTGTGCATCTCAGTATAAATTTTAAAGGATATTCACAAAACTAATGTGTGAAACAATATTTTGCTTCCGGACCAAACCTCATCAATAATGGCATATAACATCCAAGGTTGGCCAAATAATATCAGCAACATGTTTCTCAAAATAAATACATTTCAATTCCTCCCTAAGAACAGCTGCAACTGAACTCTAAACTGAACTCAAGGTTTTGAAACAACTTGGTGAAAGATAATCATAGTTTCAAAGAAAGCAAATTTACAACTAAACATATATACATATACAAAAATAAGAAAACAGACAAAAAATCAAATTCAGGCTATAGGCTGCCTCAAAGACTGGCATATGATGATACGGTTGTTATCACGCTGGATGCCGTACAAATGATGGGTATATATACAACCCATGACAAATGGCAGTCTTCATACTGTGGCCATGTATATAGGAAGTTGAGATTTTTTGTCACCATGATGCAAATAAATATATGATACTAATAAATTGCCAGTGCTTCATTAAACACATCCTTGATAATCTCCAGGGTATAGTGGAGAGTTATCGTAACGTATACCCTGGAGATTATCGAGGATGCATTAAACACAGTGCTCATATTTCTGCATCACAATCACCTCCTTAATATGAGGATAATATCGACAGTGCCACAAAGAAACAAAGTATAATGGCATAGATAAATATAAAAGATTATAGCCTAATATTAAAATATATCCACCATCATTTTGTTACCATCAAATTCACATCAAACCAGACCAAATCATTTGATGTTCTCTTTCATCTCTTGTTATGAGTGAGGGAGTGAGCTTCACACATTGTAAGTAAGGGGGTAGTGACCACTTCCTCTAGTACAGTGTTCAGTGCTGTACTTTTACAACTACTTTCTGACAACTAATTACATACTTCTACACTATTAGCACTACTTCCTGGAGACTGGGACAAGAGACCTAATGCCTGGTCTGGGAAACAATTGAGCAAAAATACCTCAACAAGGATTTGTTTGTCACCCTCACCCACAGCATATTCTTGCTAGATGTGTGTTTTGATTATCGTTTCTTTTTTGTATCATTGTGAGTGTCATGAAACCTGTTATCATGTTCTGCTTCACACTCCTGCTAGAAGTGGCATTCTGTATTACGATGGGTAAGTGATAGGTGGGGTATTGCTTTGTTTGTTAAAGTAATCAAAACTTAATCAATATAAACCGACTCATCATGACCCTGCTTGAAAATCTATATTTTGCAGTTTCCATGGCAACACACTATAATGCATGAAAGATGCCACAGAAACACACGATGGATAAGGTGAACTTCTTGATTTGATTCAATCACATAAATGTCAAACAGATCTTCAAATCAATCATGGTTACACGTCAGATCTCTGGTTACTGAGAAACACATTTCCTAATGCCATAGCTTGTCTAATGATCAAACATAAACATAACCAGTTGTGTAAGACAGAAAATATGTTCTACAAAGTAGAGTAAATCAAACATATTGTTTTCTATTTTCTCAATATCCTCTACTTTCAGAAAACAATACATAACATAATGTCATTAGATTCTGGTTTTGAAACTCTTTCGATGATGCAATTTTTTTACATTTTTAGGACTATAACAATGGTATCAGAGTAATGTACAAAAATTGTTTAACATATTGCACATAAAACACACGCACAGACGCTCCACGAGCTTTGACTCAAGCACCATATTTCTTCTGTTCAATGCTCTTCTCATCAAAAGAACATAACATTTTCATTACACACTAATACACTGTAAGTTACTGAAAACTAAAAGAAAATTGAACATTATTTATACATATATACTGTCCAGCTACACTGAATCAAAATGACACATGCTTGTAAAACCCCAAACGGATTCAAACAATTCCTAAAACCGGTTTCACAACTCAGGAAGATCTGTCTCTGTCTATCATCACTGCTATCAGCCTTGCAAAGATTTCATCACTTCTCACACCTTGGTTTGGCTATACTCTATATTTGCACATGTTTCCCAACAGAGTAATTACCAGTGGAGCTGTGCTGTTACACTTTGCTGAGATTTAAATAATCACTACTAGAGATCTCCCTTGGTTGTTACAGTTCTTACAAGAGTAGCATGAAAAATGAGAGGAATCAGAAATATACCAAATTATCATAAATCAAGAAAAATGGAACAATTGTTATATTATTACCATTGTTACTAGACTGCTTAACCTCCATTAGTCTCAACATGGGCAGCTTTACACTGCAAGTCTCATATTAGTATAATCAGAACATACATCACACAAGCCTTACATAATACATGTAAGTTAGAATTTATGAATGACACATAAGATAAAAAAGGTTATCGCTATATCTCTGTATATTGGGATGACAAATATCTGTATGAGGAATGGACAAAGGATGACACGATATCCTGTGTACTCCAAATACAGGATATAAACACCCCAAAACATAACATGTTCAAATAACACAAAGGCTTTACATAACGTCACAAGACTACAGTTGGAGTATTATTCATGGCACACTTGAACCCAGTTCTCTAAAGTAAAGTCCTACATATACCGGTATAATCAGGCAATCTTACTCAACTGTGATAGCTTTCACACGTCTCACTGTCAGCAACATAAACAATAATAATTAAATCGTCGATTTTACGCTTTCAAAATTTCTTTTCTGGTCGGCAAGTCTATAAACCAAATAATACCAAACGCCAGGACTAACCAGAGATATTGTCTGGAATCAATGACTCACAGTTAGCAAGTACCACCTTTATCACTACTGGCACTGTCTGTAATCTACATATACTACACACCAATACATTCTGTACCATGTAATAACAGTCTATATACACCACCAACTGCATGAATCATTATCAAACAATACACACTGGCAGATCAGGAAGGCTGGGAGTGACCATCCACTTTCTACAGACAACTAACAAGCCAACCTATGGTTTTGTACACACGGGGAGTGGGCACCTACCCATTTTGCAACTGCTACAAGCATGAGTATATAAATGTCACAGCCATTTCCGACTCCAATGCAGTCACAAGCACATACTTGCTATACATGAAACAACTGATCCACAAGGATCTACTCTGCAACTTATATCAACATAAATATTGGAGAGATTCAGAGCTATATATCATTCAGCAAATCAGTCTAAAAGGTGAAAGGTCACTCTGACCTGTGTTTCACATCACTGTGTTCTTGAATAGTGATGATGTAAGCCTAAGGAGATGCTGGTTGAAGATTTCAGTCACCACTCTGATAAAACCTACAACGATCATGATAGGGGAGAATGTGGGAATTGTACCAGCAACTAGCAGATCCTGGTATGGAAAAGGGACACAACTCTGCTTGGAGATTCACAGTTTAACGGTCACTAGGACACCATGCACTTTCATACACTGTCGAATAAACAGAATCACAGTCTGTATTGCATCACTAGTCTTACATCACATATATCATAGTATACCATGTCTGTCTGGCAATACATAAGGCCGCCGCCATATAGCTGGAATATTGCTGAGTGCGGCGTAAAACTAGACTCACTGGCAATACATCAACATGTGACAGCTATGCTAAGTTTGTAGAAAATTAACCCATTCCCTCAAGTTTAAAACAAATTCATGTCTGGGATCTACAGACATCATTTCTGACAGTAATCCTAATATTGGGAAAGGTTTTGGTGCATTCTAAAGTGACAAGGCAAGATTTACCTGCCAATACACCTTTGTTAAAACAAAGCAATCCTGAGAGCATGACCTGGCATGGAATATAAGCATCGTATATCACTCTCATAAGCTTAATGTAACCTGTCACTCCCCTTGTATAGCAATATGTCTCGTATAACTCCACTTCCCATCACTCTCTGTACCTATGTACCTATCACATGCAGCTACATCCTGGGACACCATCTCATGACTAGGTCACAACATCCACAACGTCTCTCTACTGTCTACATCCTCACAATAACAACTGACATCGTCTCCGGCAATCAGAGCCAAGCCTACACCAACGACTAACCAGCTTCAGAGAGGACATGCTAATGGAACTTACTAATTAGTTATTAGTTATTAACCAAAAGGTTTGATTCTGGGGACATTTTGCATCGGGTTTAACATGATTTATACGACGTTTGTTCTGTTTGTAAACAATTCATGCTGCAGATGCTCACAGTTTGCGCTACCAAGATACAAACAAATCATGCTAAGGACATACACACTATTCACACTACGAGATACACACACTATTCACACTACGAGATACACACACTATTCGCACTATGAGATACACACACTATTTGCACTACGAGATACACACTATTCATGCTACAGAGATACAGACACTTCGCACCGAGATACATCCGGCACTCTTTGCCTGAGAACAACTGCTAAATCTACATAATTTATTGTTTACACAGGACCCTGTCACTGACACTGTCACATTGGCTGTTTCATGATGTTTGAGACACATGGTCACTTCTTCAGACAATATGTCCCCTTTGTCGTGTCTAGTGGCTGTCCCCTGTATCTGATGCCACCTCTAATCCTCCCTTGGTGAGACATGCTGATTTTATGTCTAAGACACACAATCTAAATCTAAATCTAAATCTTCACTTCACCCTATTGGTTATCTCCAGCCCAATGAAACACTGATTCCATTGGCGGTTTCCCGTGAGACCGTAACCATGGTAACGTCTAAGAAATCTCTGTGTGACATTGCAACAGTTCTGTTTAGGAACCTGATTATTGGGACAGGTCCATATATTCACTGACAGATCTGTATTTATATCAATATCAGGTCCGTAAATTCACTATAAGGTTCGTACTTTGCTTGAAGTCTCAGTTATAATACAGCTGATCACCCAGTCCATGTTTCTAAAGACCACATAAGGTCTCCAGCATCCACAAGGCAGACCATGACGATGTTCACTTGAAGCCATACACCTCCACAACCTTACAGGTGAAGTCCTGTTTCTCGCAAAGCGGGTCATTGTCAAATGTGTCACAATTTTCTGTACGACAATGAACCAAATTTTCATCGAGTTGGATAGCTTCACCTCGGCTAAAAAATAAAAGAATTGGGATGTTAACAAGTTGTGCTTTTAGTATTGTGAGACTATACATTGAGAATACATGTACATGTAAATTACTCAGAAAGTGTAATACCAAATAACGTAATACATGTTGATTCATTTGGTCATTCAATGAATGAATGAATGGATGGATGGATGGATGGATGGATGGATGGATGGATGGATGGATGGATGGATGGATGGATGGATGGATGGGATGGATGGGATGGATGGATGGGATGGATGGATGGATGGATGGATGAAGCCAGAATCTTTGTCTCTAAATACATTACATATCAGTGTTTACATAGACTTGTGTGTTCCTTACACTGCACTCAGCACTCTTTCAGCTAAGTCTGTAAGTTTTCAAGCCTTGACCGAACAATCCAGTGATTGCTACTGTGATCATTGCTTCCAGCCATTAAGTAATGTTGACTGACAACCTTGTCACTAAACTAGGTCTGTTAACAGGTAAAGCAATAAGCTCTCACTTGTCATTACATGACTGACAGTTTTGTCAAACAGCATGTAAACTCATAAGCTCACAACCATGTCCCTAAACTAGAGCAATCATTCGTTACATGACAGAAACTGGGCGGAAACATGTCGACCATCATGCAACTGAATGACACCCATCTTTCATAACAAATCTGCAAACAGTACCCCAAGCGCTGTCAGCCAGCATGCTACTGCCAAAGTGAGTGACTTTTGTTTTGGGTTATTGAAGATCAATTCAAACCTGGATGTCCATGGGTACTGCCAAAGACAAAAGCTACCATCTCACAGGGAGGCAACTTGGGCAATCTTCCTCTTGCACAAGAAGTAATCTCACATTTTAGCTTCAAATGAAACACACTGAAAACACTTGACCCTTTATTGGGTGATCATGTGACTGTCCCCATCCAGAAACAACAAGCCTCTTACAACCAGTACAAGATACTGGCTCCTATTCTAACCCAGATTCCCCACAGGGTCGCCTCTTACAACCAGTACAGGATACTGGCCCCTATTCTAACCCAGACTCCCCACAGGGTCAACTCTTACAACCAGTACAGGATACTGGCCCCTATTCTAACCCAGACTCCCCAACTAACCAGTACAGGATACTGGCCCCTTCTCTAACCCAGACTCCCCACAGGGTCTACTCCAGTACAGGATACTGGGCATATATTTTAACCAAGACTCCCGACAGGGTCACACTGTGGTGGAGACTTACCCGCCGCCAATGGTGAGTACGGAGGTGTCGCCAGCCAGGAACATGTTTGCTGTGTTGGGGATATCTTCATACAGGAGTCCCACCCAGTCATACTTTAACTTGACGGGGTACAGCGTGAAGATGAAGGTCTCACCAGTGCCGAAATAGGAGAGATTCTTCTCCTTTGTCTTCCTCTGCTGCCAGGAAGCTGAACAGAAGGCGCCGAACACCTGTAAAACAGATAATGAGCTGAAGAGAAGGTGCCAAACACCTGTAAAACAGATAACGAGTTGAACAGAAGGAGCTGAACACCTGTAAATCAGAGATAACGCGATGAACACAAGCCACGTAACGCCTATAAACCAGAGATAACGGGATGAACAGAAGGGGCCGAACACCTGTAAATCAGAGATAAGGGGATGAACAGAAGGCACGAACGCCTGTAAATCAGAGATAACGGGATGAACAGAAGGCACCCAACACCTATAAACCAGAGATAACGGGGATGAACAGAAGGCACTGAGGGGATGAACAGAAGGCACGAACACCTATAAATCAGATAACAAGGATGAACAGAAGGCACCCGAACACCTATAAATCAGAGATAACGGGATGAACAGAAGGCACGAACACCTATAAATCAGAGATAGCAGATGAACAGAAGGCACCGAACACCAGTAAATGAACAGAAGAAGGCACCCAACACCTGTAAATCAGAGATAACGGGATGAACAGAAGGCACCCAACACCTGTAAATCAGAGATAACGAGATGAACAGAAGTCACGGAACACCTGTAAATCAGAGATAACGGGATGAACAGAAGGCACCAAACACCTGTAAATCAGAGATAACAGGATGAACAGAAGGCACCGAACACCTGTAAATCAGAGATAACGGGATGAACAGAAGGCACCGGACACCTGTAAATCAGAGATAACGGGATGAACAGAAGGCACCGAACACCTGTAAATCAGAGATAACGAGATGAACAGAAGGCACCGAACACCTGTAAATCAGAGATAACGGGATGAACAGAAGGCACCGAACACCTGTAAATCAGAGATAATGGGATGAACAGAAGGCACCGAACACCTATAAATCAGAGATAACAAGCGGAACAGAAGGCACCGAACACCTGTAAATCAGAGATAACGCGATGAACAGAAGGCACCGAAAGCCTGTAAATCAGAGATAACAAGCGGAACAGAAGGCATTGAAGGCCTGTAAATCAGAGATAACGGGATGAACAGAAGGGACTGAAGGCCTTTAAATCAGAGATAACGGGTTGAACAGAAGGCACCGAACACCTATAAATCAGAGATAACGGGATGAAGAGAAGGCACCGAATGCCTGTAGTCAGAGATAACGGGATGAACAGAAGGCACCAAACACCTATAAATCAGAGATAACGGGCGGAACAGAAGGCACCGGACACCTATAAATCAGAGATAACGGGATGAACAGAAGGCACCGGACACCAGTAAATCAGAGATAACGGGATGAACAGAAGGGGCCGAACACCTGTAAATCAGAGATAACGAGATGAACAGAAGGCACCGAACACCTATAAATCAGAGATAACGGGATGAACAGAAGGCACCGGACACCTATAAATCAGAGATAACAAGCGGAACAGAAGGGGCTGAAGGCCTGTAAATCAGAGATAACGGGATGAACAGAAGGCACCAAACACCTGTAAATCAGAGATAACGGGATGAACAGAAGGCACCGAACACCTATAAACCAGAGATAACGGGATGAACAGAGGGGCCGAACACCTATAAATCAGAGATAAGGGGATGAACAGAAGGCACCCAACACCTATAAATCAGAGATAACGGGATGAACAGAAGGCACCGAATGCCTGTAAATCAGAGATAACAAGCGGAACAGAAGGCATTGAAGGCCTGTAAATCAGAGATAACGGGATGAACAGAAGGGACTGAAGGCCTTTAAATCAGAGATAACGGGTTGAACAGAAGGCACCGAACACCTATAAATCAGAGATAACGGGATGAAGAGAAGGCACCGAATGCCTGTAGTCAGAGATAACGGGATGAACAGAAGGCACCGAACACCTATAAATCAGAGATAACGGGCGGAACAGAAGGCACCGGACACCTATAAATCAGAGATAACGGGATGAACAGAAGGCACCGGACACCTATAAATCAATGATAACAAGCGGAACAGAAGGGGCTGAAGGCCTGTAAATCAGAGATAACGGGATGAACAGAAGGCACCGAACACCTGTAAATCAGAGATAACGGGATGAACAGAAGGCACCGGACACCTATAAATCAGAGATAACAAGCGGAACAGAAGGGGCTGAAGGCCTTTAAATCAGAGATAACGGGATGAACAGAATGGGCCGAACACCTGTAAATCAGAGATAACGCGATGAACAGAAGGCACCGAACACCTATAAACCAGAGAAAACGGGATGAACAGAAGGCACCGAACACCTATAAACCAGAGATAACGGGATGAACAGAAGGCACCGAACACCTATAAATCAGAGATAACGGGATGAACAGAAGGCACCGAACACCAGTAAATCAGAGATAACGGGATGAACAGAAGGCACCGGACACCTGTAAATCAGAGATAACGGGATGAACAGAAGGCACCAAACACCTGTAAATCAGAGATAACGGGATGAACAGAAGGCACCAAACACCTATAAATCAAAGATAACGGGATGAACAGAAGGGACTGAAGGCCTGTAAATCAGAGATAACGGGCTGCACAGAAGGCACCGAACACCTGTAAATCAGAGATAACGGGATGAACAGAAGGCACCGAACACCTATAAATCAGAGATAACAAGCGGAACAGAACGGACCTGTAAAACAGAAATAACGAGTCAGGCTCACTGACTTGCATATCATCGTATCCCAACTGTATTGATCAATTAATGCGAATGTTCATCAAATTTTGATGCTACATAACTCGAATATACAAAAAGAACGTCCCATATAATAAAATAGTTTGTAACAAATGTAATTAAAACTTGCTTGAAGATGAATATCACATGTTGCTAATATGTCCATTTTATACCCAATGCAGGTCCCAATGTATTGCAGCCTATCTCTACAGCCCAACAAACAAAACAATCGATTTTCAGAAAGGACAAGAGATCCATAATAATTCTTGCTTTATTGTAAGGTAAGGGGGAACATAACTGAAAGAGAAAGACATTTCTTTTTCTGTTTGCTCTTCCAAAATTTATTAGAGGTCATCTCCATGTTTGTTTGTTTCTAACCAGGCAATATATTTGAGTTGCACTTACAGAATATATCCAGTTTTGCTTTCCAGATGTTATATTTCCCTTTCATGCTTTCAGTTCAGTATCTAAACATTACACTTATGAAGGGTGTCATCTAATTAAACCTCTACTGCATTGACATATTTTCACAAGATTCATATCTAACAGCTGATTATAACAGGCCTAACTACTGTACAACAATGCCTCTCTTGGACCTACGGTTTGTGTAAAGAAAATCAATAACACCAGCCCCAAGCTGTTGCAAATACTGGTGCAGGCTAAAGAGAAACGTTTTTTGCTGAACCAGCACAAAATGCCTATTTAACAGCATGTGCATGGTATTGATTGTTTTGGTGGCTAGAATACATTAACCTAGAATACATTAACCTGTTAACTTGAGCTAGTTTTACATTTCTAGTTAGCCAAATAGAAAACAAACTGTTTGACATTCTACTTGTTTGTCATGTTTACATATTGGGGAGTCAGCAGATTCATATCTAAAGTTTTAAAACAATTCTTGCCTTTTCACAAGTAAATCTCACCTCATTCTCTGTGTTGCATATAATAACAATTCTTGCCTTTTCACAAGTTAATCTCACCTCATTCTCTGTGTTGCGTATAAAGAAAAGTGTCTGCTGCCTGGACTCAATCTTGCTGTAGACCGTTCTCAAACTGGTGCCGTGCTCCTCGGACGTGAAAAGGAGCTCCGGTACACATACTGACAGCCGTGCCGGCAGCCAGCTCCATACCGTGTGCAACTACAACAAGACAGTCTAAGTTGTACATAAACACACCTACTCCCTAAAGAGTAGCTTACCTGTAAAATGGTGTGCACTAACAATTTTCCTGAATTAACAATTTTCGGGATTAATGTATTCCCCGATAAAGAAATCATGAGCAAATAGTAGCATTCCTTTCACCATATTCGGGGGTCGTTAACAGACTGTAGGAAAGGTATACATGGTAAACGGAATAATTGATTCGAGACTATTTTAGTTTCTCTTTGGTTTTAGTTTGTCTTTTGTTGAATGCCACACACTGCTGTGTAAGGATTCAAACCTGGACTATTACCGTGATGAATAAACGCTTTAACCACTGGGCTACCTTACGACAGAACAGATTATGTCCTCAGCAAAAGACCCCAGGAAACAGTCAGGCTTTACTTGGAGATGTTGATAGGAAGCTTGTACACACATAGTGCATGTCACTGGCCACGACCCAAGATGCACCAGAAGGGGAGCAGTCAGTATCACCCAGATAGGGAGCATTCATTATACATATAGTTATTCTCTAGTACATCAAATGAGATGGATGTCACACAAGATCAAACTTTAGCAACATTCAAGGTTTAAGATGTAGAACAGGAAGACAAAACATTCAAATGAGTACCATGATAAACACAGATAAGAACAAAAAGCCAAAAATAACTTTGATTGTCATGCATACTAGAATACATCTAAAGAAAGAAAGAAAAAGACTGACACACAACTGTGAGTTTTATTCAACATTACATCATCAATTATCTGAACCATACAAACAGCAGACTCTGTTTCCTGGGTTATGATTGACAGCATTTTGCTATATCCTACTGCTACACACCAGTTGACCGACTTACATTTGTTTTGGAAGTTACGGTGCTGAGCGGGTTAGGCATATGATTTTGTGTGCTGGCAATTAGGTGCCTGACTCTGAAGGTGTGGGTCTGAATCCCGGATGGGACTCAACCCAACAAAAGTACTAGAATCTGTACTATACAATGAAGGTGTAATCCCAAATATAACATATGTTACACACCCTGCAGTAAAAACCCAGTAATGAAGACTAAATAGTCTGCCTGTCTGTGTGTTGGTATTAGTCTGGAGAAGTGTTGATTCTAGCTAGTTCAGATACCATGCAGTGGATTCCCAACTCACACATTATGTGGATTCTGAGCTGACCAGATCCTATTTTCAGAAGCTGAATAATTTTTGAAAGCTGAAATCTGTCTGACTAAAGAGCCCATGCATTCTTCATGTAGACTGGGCAGTTAAAGTTTGGAAGAGGTTCACCTGATGCAACATTCTATCCAACAAGGAGTTCTCAGGTATCACATCAGAAGAAAAGAACTGACATTCATAGGATTTCAGAAGGACTAACCAAGCACCAGAAGTTATCTGTAGTGAGAGAGTGTTAAGCATGCATTTACACCAATTTTAACAACCTTCCAGCAATATAATGGCTAGGGACACCTGATATTGGCTTCACACATGGTACCAAGGGAATGTCCTTTGGTGTGATGAACAAACACTTTAACCACAAGGCTACCGTACTATCCCTTAAGATATGCCGCCAGAAGAATTACTACATTGATACATCATGATTAAAACTGAACTCATTCCTCTGACATTATATTCTTTTAATTAGAACATCTTTAACACTATTTAAAAAGAAGACAGTCTCTCAATCACAAAGCGAAAGTATATTCAGCCATGTCCTAATATCTTCATGATCAGCACTGGTTCGGTCAAGTTGAAAAGAAACCGTGCCTTTTGACAGAAAAAAACAAAAGCTAAAACTGTTCACATCATTCATAGAACAAATGAACGCTGTGCATAAAGAAAACAAACTGAAAAGGGAACAGAAGCAAGATGGCCACCAATGACGTGCCCATGCTACACAACAGAGTTATCTCCCCATATACTCACATCATCCTGAGTGATAATGCTACTTTTGAAATTTGGGAAAACGAGTATCCCGAGAGATCTGGACCTACCCCGAGATGTGGATGGCTGCTTGTAACAAAAGTGAGTGAGTGAGTTAGGTTTAGAGCTGCTTGGAACAGTTTCTCAGTTGTCACACAGCGAGTCTGCTTACTGTGGCTGGAAGCCCTAAATTATTCAGGTCCAGTAGTAGTAGGTAGGCCTGTTAGTCTACTAACATTATACAATTTCACGGTTGTCTCCCTTAGTCCTGTCCGTATCTGTTCATCATAGGTTAAAATACTAGATGAGATCTTTGACTTTTCAGAATCATATCCATTTGGACACATTTGAGTGAGCCAAAAATCACATCAACAAAATAACAGTCATTTGTGACTTTACCATAACTGACAAAATTGAACTCAAATCCCGAATGACATTCAACAATCAGAAATGATAAATGGGGAGAAAATCGGATTGGAAACCTTGATCTTAGTTGTCAGTCATAATGCCACAAGGCAAATGAACTTTTTATTTTCTGATTAAAAACATTTTTTTCACTTTGGCCAATTTCTTTAGACCAGACACTTCCTGATAGCTATACAATATTCATTTATTGTCATTAATTATGCAACATTTCAATCCAATCTCGTATAGTTTCATAAACTGTTTTCAAATTTTCAATGCACTCACCATATCAGGTGTGAGAACACTTGACCCTTTCATATGCTGCATGATGATTGGTCCACTAAATGACCTTGACATTGGTACTCCGATGGAGTGTGTGGACGCACGTCTCATCATGAGGTCATTCTTGGTGGACTGGACAAAATTTCGGCTGTTGATGTACATCTCGTGCTTTAACTCCAGACGATGGATTTCCTTCCGAGACAAGCCACGGATACCGAAGGCAATCTGTATCATGAACAATTTTAAATTTGTTAAGTATTAAATGTCATTTTGCTTGTCCAAATTCCTTTTGTTTTCTCTTACACAGTGCATCTCATCATACAATAACAATATTAATGTGTGAACGTATACTGCTCTAACCTCCACACACAAGGTGTATGCTCAAAGCAATAACAGTAATACACCAGTTAGTGGATCAGCATGTACTGTAACCCACGCTGCACAGCTGGGTTAACAGTGGCATATTATGAACAAAGTTCCTTGTCAGCGGGAAAAACCTGTCACATGTGCAATGGTGTGGGGCAGGACTGAACTCTAAGAAACTTTCAGGAGTCAGGCTGCCAAACATGGTCACCAATCTGAGGACTCTCAGCAACCATTGTTGCTTAACTTGAACTGATTTGTGACATGTGCTCTTTGCACAGGACCCCTCAAGAACACTCACGATATCCAATACTCTGTGTAAATCATCCCATGTTATCTACAACTCTGTCTGTCTCTACATATATCATAATATGTTATCTACTTCTCAGTGTCAGTCTCACCTTCAAAAACTTAGTGACATCCACCGGCATCTTTTCACAGAATCGGCTGATGTTGTTGGAGATGTTGACACTGACAGGTTCTCCGTTTGAGGCAGTTCGCCTACCTGCAACATGGAGATCAAATAATAACCCATCTTACCACTGGCATCATCAGATGTTATCTACCACTGAGTGAATATCTTCACATTATGACATTATCTACTACAGTGTATATCATCATGTTATCTACCACTTAGTGTATATTACCACAAGTTATTTAACACTCAGTGTATATCATGACACGTTATCACTAATTGGAGCGAATCATCACATTTATATCATCTCATATTACTACTCAGTAATCTCCTCACCTGAGTACTTAGTGTACAGTAATCTCTTCACCTGAGTACTTAGTGTACAGTAATCTCCTCACCTGAGTACTTTGTGTACAGTAATCTCCTCACCTGAGTACTTAGTGTACAGTAATCTCCTCACCTGAGTACTTAGTGTACAGTAATCTCCTCACCTGAGTACTTAGTGTACAGTAATCTCCTCACCTGAGTATTTAGTGTACAGTAATCTCCTCACCTGAGTATTTAGCGTACAGTATGCTGCTTACCTGAGTATTTAGCGTACAGTATGAGAACGGCTAGTACAGCTCGGTACAGGACCTTTACACCCTCCACCAGAAAGCAGTCTGTAATCTTCACCTGCAACACATGCAATGTGCCCGAGTTGACATAATAATATAAGCCACAACACTAGACCAAGTGACGGACTTTAAGCCACAACACTAGACCAAGTGACGGACTTTCCCATATATTGTGCTCATCATTCTCAAAGTTGCTGGATCACTTTATGAGTGAGTGAGGTTCAGCACCACTTCAAACTGTCTAACAGTGTTCCAATCGTGGTGTGTCAGCATTACGTGCGAGGAAAGCCTAAGGTGATGCAGGTGTCAGACAGTTACTAGGGCTGCAACGATTCACCCACACCTCGATTCAAACGATTTTCGATATTGGACCTTCGATTTGATCATTTTCGATTCGATTCTTCAAACAAGTAAAAACATCAGATTTCATTTAACTCTCGGAGTCGTCGATTTAGTGTGAAATCCATTGACAAACTCGGCGATGTCTACTAACAACAATTCTCATTGGATAATTAGCCCGACATCAATTAATCAGGTTTTGCCTTATTTCAGCGCTCAAAACTGCTCAAGTTGGGAGTCAAAATTATGTTCTGGCTGTGTGGAAATAATTTAAATAGGCATTGAAATATCGCAATCGAAATAGTGATAATGGTTATCGAAAATTGAAAAAAAACTGTCAGATTCGATTCTTGATGAATTGAACCAAATCATTGCAGCCCTAACACTAACAGTTACCACTTGAGTGAAACAAGTCTGGTGCAGACAATCCAAGCTAAATCAGGGCGAAGCAGGATTTGAACCCACAATCTGGCATGGGTCGTCATTAAATGAGTAGTAAATATTTTTGCCATATACTGACACACCATGTGCATTTACCGTATTGTCGCATGAAGCCTTATGACCATATGTGTACCATTTCACAGCTATAATATAGACAAAATACAAACAAACATATTCTACCAATTAAAAAGGAATGCAACAAAGTAGGGAAAAATGTCTTCTCACCTGTTCTTCAGAGGAACACTCTAAGTATTGCCCAAATATGGTAGTAATCGTCACTAATAATTCAGATAATTAAACATCATCAGTTTTAATTATTCCACCACTCACATCATCCATCAGTATCAATAACCAGATAATTTGACACAATAAAAATTCACAACATAAATTATCAATTCATCACTTCAAACTATCCATATCAATTATCCAAATGATGCGACACTAATTAATCCGTTCCCCACGATGAACCCATCAATCTAAATAAGACAGCGATTGTATTGTTATTTATATCCTGCAGATCCGTCGGATAAAGTACAAGTTCTTTAATCTCAGACAAATATTCGCCCCACAGGAGAAAGGTCCTGCCTCCTTGATCACAGCGCTGCCTGACACAGCGTGGTGACAGCGTCTCGACGTGTTGTGGTCAGGTAGACATGCCTAAACAAACGCTGCTCTACAGGAAGAGGACCTTCACTGCAAGCTGTCTCAACACTGGCTCAACATCCTTGCACAAAAGGACTCACGTTTTTATGCTTGAAAACCCTTTAATCTTATGCCTATTTTGGCATCAAAAGAGTCATTTTTGTGTCTTTAAAAATAATTATGTTTAAATCTTGAGTAATAAGTATCTATCTTTGGCTACAATATTTTTTTGCTACTAGAAAATTTACACATCAGCAATAACATATACTCACATTTGCCAAACTACTCAAATTAATTATGTTCTTCTTTCTGGACAGATAACCTGTAATTCCTTGTGGTCTATGCTCTACTTCTTGATGAAATATCTCACACATGGACAGATAACCTGTAATTCCTTGTGGTCTATGCTCTACTTCTTGATGAAATATCTCACACATGGACAGATAACCTGTAATTCCTTGTGGTCTATGCTCTACTTCTTGATGAAATATCTCACACAAACAGCCCTTGCAGACATTCAAAACCCAAAAATATTACTTCACACATTCCATTTTTGAAAATTTGAAAATCTATTTTAATATATTGTGTCCTTATGCAACCGTTTGGACCGATACCTGACCTCTCTTCCATAGTACCAGACACGGAGAATCTCACCCTCATCATGAGATCAAATGCATATACACTTCAATCAGCTGTGTAAAAGTTTTCTGAACACAAGTTGATCTGTTTGATATAAAAATCCACAATGCTGAGATTCTATCTGTCAAGCTCTTCTTATTTTTCAGTTTGTAAAAGTACAGCTAAGGTCTTCCTGTATCATGAAGATCAGTGATGTCATTTGATTGTGATGTCATATTCTTGGATATATCACTTGATATATCACCCCTGGAAGCCAGTTTGGGATGATAACTGTAGACATTATCACTCTACACAGTGTGTTAAGCAACAGAATTTGATTTTTTTTTATGTACAATACTACAAATGTCTATGCGCCACCATGAGTGAATAAGCGAGTGAGTGTGAGGTACGTACCAGGTGAGAGAAGGGCAGGTCCCGATAGATCCACCACAACCAGTTCTCAAACACAGCCTCTGTGTTGCTGCTCTGTCGCACAATGTGAACATAGGCCGACTTCTGAATTGAATAAAAACATGTTCTACTCTACATTCAAATAAATCAAGTGAGAGTGATTAAATCAAGTTGGATGAATTAGGCTTAACATCGGTTTGAATAGTAGACAAGTTCTATGATGAGGTCCATGTTAGCTTGATTTGGAACTATAAATTCAACCCCAGTGTTGTTTTATATCAAATATTCAGAATGCAAAGGAGATTTAAACTTTTATCAACAAGTGTAGATAAATTTGAGATAAAAATCATCATGGTGAAATTCTATTTCTCATCCAGTTTGTAAGCAGACATAACCAGAGTCTTGAGCTCAAGTACAGTACAGCTAACCCAGTTCCATAGCAGAGTTATCAGGGATGTCAGTTGATGTGATGTCAAGGCAACTGATGGAATGTCTTCTATAAACTTGATGGAAACCAATTATCTATGGCATACATCATTTCCTCTGGATGAGCATAATGACCAGACAAAGAATGACATAGAATCTTGATGAATCACCTTTCATGTTTACACAGATTTATCTAGGATAATAAACTATATGCCTTTGGCTGGTAGATCTTGCTCAAAACCGGCATTTTTTTAGATTCAGGTGTTTGAAACAGCATTTAGCATGTTCACTGCAGCAATAACTTAATATAAAAGCCTCATCCTTTTCAACTGAATATTGTCCTTTGAGCAAGTGTGGCCCGAATATCGGCCTTTCAGCATGTGTGGCCCGAATATCGGCCTTTCAGCATGTGTGACCTGATTATCGGCCTTTGAGCAAGTGTGGCCGAAATATCGCCTTTGAGCATGTGTGGCCCGAATACCGGGCCCTTGAGTAAGTGTGGCCCGAATACCGGCCTTTGAGCAAATGTGGCCCAAATATCGGCCTTTGAGCAAGTGTCGCCCAAATAACGGCCTTTGAGCATCTGTGGCCCGAATACTGGCCTTTGAGCAAGTGTGGCCCGAATATCAGTCTTTGAGCAAGTATGGCCCAAATATTGCCCTTTGAGCAAGGTCGGCCCAAATATCGGCCTTACAGCAAGTGTAGCCCGAATATCTGCCTTTGAGCAAGTGTAGCCCAAATATCGCCCTTTCAGCGTGTGTGGCCCGATTATCGGCCTTTGAGCAAGTATGGCCCAAATATCGCCCTTTGAGCATGTGTGGCCCAATTATCGGCCTTTGAGCAAGTGTGGCCCGAATATCGCCCTTTGAGCATCTGTGGCCCGAATATCGGCCTCTGAGCAAGTGTGGCCCGAATATCGGCCTTAAAGGAAGTGTGGCCCAAATATCGGCATTTCAGGAAGTGTGGCCCAAATATCGGCCTTTCAGCATGTGTGGCCCGAATATCCGCCTTTCAGCATGTGTGGCCGAAATATCGCCTTTGAGCATGTGTGGCCCGCATACCGGTCCTTGAGTAAGTGTGTCCCGAATACCGGCCTTTGAGCAAATGTGGCCCAAATATCGGCCTCATGCAACTGAATCTAGCATCACCATGACACATGACATTAGTTGTGAGAACATGACTTCAACATCCAGTATTATTACATGTGAATGTGTACAGGTTTGATTCAACCTCTTATCTTGAACTAGACAGAAAATAAAAGGATATCACGTACGACCCCTCAAAATAAATAAAATAAAAATTACTTTTATCAAGAAGAATGTGAAGCATTTGATGCCTTGAGAATTTGCGACTTCTATAACTTGTAAATAATTGTAAACCAAAAGTCACGGTGTTTTGGTTGAAAAACGTGATCAAATGGTATTCGATTCCCGGAATTTTGCTGCGTATTAATACATACAAACATTGCTCACACCATTGTATTGTTACGTCGTCAACTGTGATGACGTCATGAAATCATATTGTGACGTAAAGTCCGAATGGCGTCACAAATGAGCAGTTCCAGATGCTAACATGGGAGACAGCCGAAACGGTCAGCTGATGACATTTCTCTGCTGTACCCGTACTCAATGTCAATGAGTGCAGACACAAAAACGTGTGTGGACCTTTTGGTTTACTTTTGAGTTTACAGTGTCGATAAACATCATGTGTTGGCCAATTTCCGGGTGTTATTGAGTATTTGAAGCACGGGAATATTCCATTTGATACCTCTGGCTGATGCCGCCGGTTCCAAATGAATTCCTGTGCTTCAAATACACAATAATACCCGGAAATTGGCCAACACATGATGTTTATCTCCTAAACATGCAGAATCATTGAGGATCAATGAACAAATACACCAAACATTGAAGTGAAAACACACGATGGAAGCTAATTGCACGGAATACTTACTGCATACTTCTTGGTCAAATCCCTCAGTACTAGTTTGGATGCATCAAGAGAGATACTTGTCTGAGTGAGATAGCGAGTGTCTTTGCTTGTAAGTAGAGCGTAGAGGCAGTTGTAGACGTCGGAGGGGCCCATATAGTGGAGGAAGAGGCTGGCCACAGAGAAGGCAGCAGGGCTGTAGCTTACGTCGGGGTTGGTATGGTTGATGATGGCGACGATCTTGGTGATGAGGTGCAACCCCTCGTGGGACAGATGATACGAGGTCAGGTTGACTTGGTCGACAAACCCCGGCAGGGGGATGTCGTCCATCATAACTGTAAAAAGTAGAAGAGTGAGTGAGTGAGTGAGTGAGTGAGTGAGTGAGTGAGTGAGTGAGTGAGTGAGTGAGTGAGTGAGTGAGTGAGTGAGTGAGTGAGTGAGTGAGTGAGTGAGTGAGTGAGTGAGTGAGAGTGGAAGGGAGGGAGGGTGGGAGGGTCTGCAAACGCTCGATCCACATCCACACTCTGCTAAAAATGGGAGCTTGACAACCACTTCGCTGGCTCCCCTTAATGAAGAACATAATGGATCGATGACAAGCCGACGAACATAAGATCAGCTGATGCAGTCAGGAATGTTTAAAGCAACTACAGTCAGTGATTGGCACCATTGAAAGGGGCTAAAATTTAGTGCCCAACAAAAAGGTGCTGTACATTTCTTGCAAGCAATTGGTTCTTAGCATTGCACAAGGCTGAAGTGATGCATCTACACTGCAGCAATATATCCTCAGGGTGATATCCCAGTTTGGGATAATAACTTATTACTCACCCATTGAAGATATCACTGTTTAATAATTTTACAATGTTATTACACATTGTGTAATAACATCACGTGGTGCCGTATGTATGACGTAAAACTGGTTTACAGTTATGACGTCACAATGCTAAAACCTCTGTCACAATAGTATTAGACCTTGCTTGACTCGTGGAAAGCTACGAGTCATCACACTCGTTGAATTCTTTGGAAAGAAGTACTTTGCTCGATATTATATTGCTAATGTTGGGTGAGTAATTATTAAATACTAAACTATGTCCAGTGTAATACCATATTTATGAAACTCGTGAATGGTATTGGTATCTAAATCGCTTTCGCTCGTTAGATACCAAACCATGATTCACTCGTTTCATAAATATGGTATCACACGGTACATCGTTAGTATTCTCTATGTAGTTAACAGGCCTACCAAAGAAAACTTTCCCACTGTGCAGAAAAACGCAGAAAAGCCCACATTAAACACATTACCTCGCTACTGAAACAGTAAAAACGGCAACGAAAAACTATGAAACTGCAACATTTTTATATCAGCGAACTTTGACCTCTACTGCGCGTGCACATTATGATCCGGGCGTCTTTCCAATTTCCGAGCAACCGTGAATCGCCTCGCGTAGAAAAAGTATTAAATATGTTGAAATAATTGCTGTCAATCGTTTCATACCCATGGAAAGTAAACTAAACAAGTGTGCACACAAGTATCATGATGATAAATGCCAAATAACACAATTGAAATAGTTAAAAAGGAATGTCCAAGCTGGAAAATGTCAACATGCGGTCGAGACTTTAACTTCCAAGTGCGCATGCGCAAAATCGAAGTTGTGGGCTCCTTGTTTTATGATGCAGTGTAAGCGATTTAAAGTGGCCGTTTTTACTGTTTCAGTAGCGAGGTATTATGTTTATGTTACTATTTCCACGATTAATGTGGGCTTTTCTGCGTTTTTCTGCACAGCGGGAAAGTTTTCTTTGGTAGGCCTGGATAACATGCCAACATATTTTAGTCTACTTACCCTTTTTTGCATTAACAGATTTACCTGTTACCTACAACAATCTAAGAAATGTATGTGAACCCATAATTGTTATTTCATCCTTTCACGAACACGCCACCAGAAATGTTTAACAACATTAATTAACCTGATCCCCTAGCTACCATGATCCACACATCTCAGTAGCCATGACAGGCTGTTAGTCAGGTATATCTCTTAATATCATCAACGACAGTATCTCACATTGTCGGTGTATTAACAGTGAATCACGTTCCAGCAGAACCCGTCGGACACCAGCTACACACCCAACACAAGGGGCAGGTCTAGACTAATGCTAGTCTCTGAATATATACATTTTGATAGAAACAAATAATTCCTTTTAAATTGAAAAGGAGCCCCATTGAGATGGGAGTTTCAGAACCTGAACCTGAGGAAATTTAGACTCGCATCACTTAGGGCTTTAACGTGGCAGAAAGGGCTTGGTGGAAGTGAAAATAATGTGGTTCAGGGAGTGTGAGACAGACGAGGGGTTGGTTGAGCCATGGAGTGTGTTGCTCTGAATTGTTGCAAAGGATTATTGCCTTGGTTTGTGTCTTTATTCAACAGTTGAAGAACCTATTGAAACATTTTCTTGGTTTACAGATATTTTGATGAACAATTCTGGTCAGTAGCAAATTGGTGGGCAAATAGATAAACAGACAATAATAGCTGAATGTCCCTGATATCCATGTGTGAGTATGGTGTAACCCCACTTTTAGCAATATTCCAGTAATATCATGGCAGGAGACACCAATACTAGGCTTCACAAATTGTACCAATGTGGGGATTTGAACCCAGATCATCGGTTTCACAAGCAAATGCTTTAACCACTAGACTTCCCCACCTCTTCCCCTTATATCAAACACACAGTGGGGAGATTCTGTTCATCATCCAAACTCATACTTTTAACTGTTGAACTTCAAAAACCATAATACCCAATTTCTTAGGGTAAAACGTTTAGCCAACTAGATTCAGTGGCTGAGGTTAGAGTCGTCATCGGAATTGATGACATCACAATAGTCTACAGTGCATTGTGATGAAATTTCATTGTAGCCATTACTTGATTTCACCCAATTGTTGATAAAACAGTTCGCAATATTCCAGCTTTATCACAAATGCATGTAAAGTTGTCAACAAATGACTCTGTTTGATATTATGCTCCAAGATGAAAGAACCTGGAAAGGTCCGGGTTAAAATATTGATCTTCAGCAACCCATGCTTGTCGTAAGAGGCGACTAACGGGATCGGGTGGTCAGGCTCACTGACTTGGTTGACACATGTCATCGGTTCCCAGTTGCGCAGATCGATGTTCATGCTGTTGATCATTTGATTGTCTGGTCCAGACTCGATTATTTACAGACCGTCGTCATATTGCTGTAATATTGCTGACTGCGGTGTAAAACTCAACTCCCTCACTCACTCCAAGTTGAAAGTGGTTTGATAACACTGAAGCTAACCACAGACCCTCTCCACCCTGGTCTGAGTGGTCGGTGTGACAGTGGCCATGGCTTCCCTATGATGTCTGAGCCACAAGCTGTCAGTCACTTCATCTCCCACACAGAGTCCATCTTATCCCCACAGGACAGATAGAGACAGCCTCTATGTTTGTGTGTTACACACCCTGTACCGCTGTAGACCATCATGGTACCAGCAGGGGCAACCCCAGGCCAGCATAACAGTCACAGTCAAGCTGACCATGACACCAGCAGGGGCAACCCTAGGCCAACATAACAGTCACAGTCAAGCTGACCATGACACCAGCAGGGGCAACCCTAGGCCAACATAACAGTCACAGTCAAGCTGACCACGGTACCCCTGGTCACTACCACCAGGGACGATGTCATAAGTATAATAATGAATAAACCTAATTTGTTCCTTTACTTTAAAGGCTTGTTTGGAGTTGCATTGTTTCAAAAACATTTAGATCAATTCATGAAATTTGCAATCAGTTTGTTTCCACATCATTCTTAAACTTGTGTGAACTATTCTAAGTCAAATGGGGTAATTTACAGTAACACTCCAAGAAATGCATGTGACCTAATGAAAGACACACACAGATAACATGAGGAAGGGTGGAATTTGTTGATACACAATTTTCATAACCATGGCAACCAGTTTTCCATTATTCTTTGGTAAGGGATTGTCAAAGCAAAACATATTTACTGAACATGGCTCAAATAAGCAGCAATGTCTTTATGCTGTGAAGAAATCATTCCAGTCTATTCTACTTTACAAATCAATAGATTCAACTGATTTCTCATTCTTAACCATGATACGGTTGCCATCATTTTGTTTTCATATTCCACCTAATGCCCTACAGTTTTGATAGCTTTTTGCTATATACATTTGGTTCTGAATGACCAATGAAATCTTGGCTGAGATTCAACAGCAATGACAACAGCACATCACCATAATAATAATAATAATAATTTAATAAACTGCATTCAAGTGCCACAAAGGGCCTCCTCATGTACACAAATGGACACAAAGAGAAACGTGTTAAGCCTGTTACTCATAATGAAAGACCGCATACTGGACCTACACAATCATTCCCAATCTGATAAAAGTATAAATAAATAACTGACCTCCTGCCATGTGTACAGTCATGTTCTCTGTCATATTCAGACATTCACCTATATATCACCCGGTATTGGTCTTGGGCTTCAGAAGATTAACCCTCAGCCATCATAAATCAGTCTGTTTACATGTACATGCCCCTTCCAGGTGAACATATCAAGGTCAGACCTACCCGTCCACAATTAGAGGGACATTCAGGAAAGTGGAGAGAATTTCCCCCAGAATCCTGAAAAGCATCTAAAACTAGTCCAAAATGTACAGAAGAATGGTGTGATTCTGTACATAGTGTCAATCCCAGCCATAATTCACAAATTCACGCACTACAAATTAAATGGTGTGTGTAGTTTTGACACGGTCCCTGAGGTTCTGGGTTGGTGTGTATGCACCCAAGCAACCAGCACAGTTGGGCTGCCAGTGGTGGGTCTCCCGCTCCACACCTGGACACTGGGTGTCATCCAGAGAAATCTCTACCACATGCTTACCATTGCCAGAAGAATGTATACTCCTGAGGGAGTTGAGAAAGAAAACTGGGTGCAAACATGGGTAACAAAGTAGTGCTTTCAGCAGCTTTAGCGGTGTGCACTTGGTGCATTATGAGTAAAACTGCACATTGAGAATGGCTAAACCACCCTTCAAATTCACACTTGTCAGCTATCAAAACTGTGAACCAACTAAATAATATGGAGGACATGCAACAATCCAGTGATTTACAACAAATTGGCAAACTAAATAAAACTGACATTGTTCACAAAGTAAACACTTTGTACTGTCCAGAACCAGAGCTCCAGGTAAGGGCCATATTGACGTATGTACGGATAAAAAAAATAAGCACAATACGATGGGAACTAATTTAGAAAACGTAGCACATAAATGGTGTACGGTCTTAGAATCATTTCCAGATATATTTGTCTGAAAAGTGTTGTTTTATTGTTCACTGAACTGTTTACACCTGTTTATGAAACGAAACCCAAGATTACTGATACTCCATTAAATTCCATTCAGTACTCTAAATGTACTCTTAAGTTTTTTCCAGTACTCCTATACTTCAAAAATAAGGAGTACATACTCCTGATGTTGAAAAATTATCTGGAGCCCTGCCAGAACGGACTAACAACCCACGGACTAGGAAAATAATGTCTCCACTGGACTAACTTTAAACATGTTAAAAGAAACAAATTTCATCAAAATTGTTCCATTTACATCAATATGATTTAATGGTGCTGCCAAAATCCTTTGAGGAGATAAGTTAAATAAACTATCAATCAAGAGAAGAAACACACGGGTGCCCTGTGAAGAGCTGCAGGTAATAAATCAGACCCAAAAGTAGTACATGTGCACTGATATCTGGCGAAAACAACTTCACACGGATAGTTCTTCCACCCATTTCATGCATCAGTCACTGGAACTGCATCAAAGGTAGGTCATCCTCTGCATCTCGGAAACTGAAGCTGACCTCTGACATGTGTATCTATATTGTCCCTTGATGACAGGCAATAAACATGCCAGTATGTTTACAACTGTATCCTATCTCTACCTGTTAACCAATGTACACCAGTGTCTCCATGTCCATGATCAGTATAAGTAGGTCACTTGCCATGAAATAAACTGCGAGTATATAATTTCTTAAAAAATATATTAACAAACATTTAATAACCTTGTGACAAGTTAAAGATTTTAAGACCTGTGTATGTATGAAAGCATTAACAATACAGAAATTACTGCATGAAATCAAAATATTCTCTTACCATCATCTCCAAAAAGTTCCTTGTCCATTTCATCATAGAGATCTCCGTCCGCTTTCAGCAGGTGCTTGCAAAGTGATGTCCATAATGAATGGCGGATCATGTGGTCAGCAGGCCACATTGACTGTCGCAGTAACTGTTTCAGTTGTTTTTTCTGCCCCAACTTGTACAAATTAAACAAAACTGAAAGCTGATCCCCATCATCCAAGTCATCTGAAGTAAACGACGCAGCTGACTGTCCAAGGTTGCGACGTATTGCATCCATGTCAACAAACTCGGAAAAGATATGCGACGATCCGTCCGAGTAACTATCAAGAGTAGCGTCTCTGAGCACAACACCTTTCTCAGCAGATGACCCCTGCACAGTGCCCGGGTCCTCGGTGTTGACATGCATAATGAATTGTCTGTCAGTCCCACGTGTGCTGGAGGGGGCGTGTCAGCTTACGTCATGGTCCCATTGTACAAGCAGCCACTCTTGCCATCGTTTCCCTGTCAGACCTGGTCATGTGACTGAGGCAGTTATTCGGCACATGTCACACTCGCAAGTCTGAAAGATAAATAGGAGAAAGAGCCGTGTTAAGACAGTAGTACTTCCTTTCTTACTTAAACATGTCTTTCATCTGTCACTTTACAACAATCACAAAAACAGTAGTGTTTTTTCACTGCCCTGACCTAAGCCTTCCGGCATTTTCTAATAAAAGCATGTAGCTCATTGTCATTAATACTGTACAAAAGAAGTATGAGGACATTAATGGCTGCACATGTTATTGTTAATGTCTCACGGTGTAGAGGAGGCACAAACATAAATAGTGTGTTAATCCGGTGATCCGACATGTTCTCCCATACACACTGTGCCCAGGTATCGGGGAGAGACGACGCAGGTTGGGCCTGCAACTAATGTATTTAATACACCTGGATCTGGAGTTTAGCAAATGTAATTGTTTGAATGGTATTCTAAAAGTTCGCGAATAAATGAAGAAAATATACATGAATGTACACCAGATGTCAACCATAAAGTCACAAGTTTTAGCATTCAAACCAAAAGTTGTTATCCGCAAAACTGCTAATATTGTTATTCGAACCAAAAGTCATTATCCATAATGATGCTAGTTTTGTTATTCAATCAAAAGTTGTTTTACATAAAGTTGTAGGTTTCCTATTCAACCAAGTGTTATTACAGTGGGGTCTTGAGTTCAACAACTGTATTATAATACAACTGTGTTCAGAAATCAACAAACGATTTTTATACAATACAGGAGATTAAAAAGGCATGTTTTGACTGGAATTTGGAATTTTACTGAAACATTATGATACACCTGGATTTTTATACAATTGTTTTAATACACTTGTGGCAAGGAGTTCAACAAATTATTTTTATACACCTGGCTTTAGCAATCAACAAATGTATTCTAATACACATGGGTTTGGAGTTCAACAAAAGGATTTTGAATACTGTATTGTATTTAAACATTTATATACAGGGTCTGACTAGATTGTTAATACATTTCAGCTACCGTATATGACTGACTATAAGTCGGAAATTTGATACCAGAAAAAGGAGCTCAAAAATCAGACCCGACTTATAATTGAGTTCATTAATCTTCCCAAAAAATTGTATTAGCAACCTATACAAGCATACAGGACACACACTACGATGAATATAAAATAAATTCTGTCCTTCCGTTGTGTTGATAATACATGATGTAGCACTAACCAGGCAGACCACATGCTCATAAGCATACATTAACTTGATTAAGTGATTGTGTTTGATTTGTCATGTATTCTGCTGGATCCTGAGTGTGCATCATGACTTTAGCCTGGATATAATGTCACCACCAAACCGTCATCAGGCCTGAAATGTCCATGTAATTCTGGGGGGGGGTGGCATAAACTAATGCTTAAAGTGGATTTGATTCCCCACATGGTACAATGTGTAAAGCCCATTTCTGGTGCTGGAAGTGACATAACACCACTCACTCACTCACCATATAACTCCAGTCACTTTGTCTAATACAAATATGATAGAAGCATGCATGTTTGTCCTCTATATTTACCACATTAACATGAAGATGTCTGAATATTGTCGAGTGTAACAGAAAATGTACTTCATCTACCGGGTAACTTCTTGATTGAAGACCCGTGTAGGTCCGGGTTAGAATTGATCTTCAGTAACCCATGCTAGTCATAAGAGGCGACTAACAGAATCAGGTGGACAGGCTCGCTGACTTGGTTGACACATGATCATATCCCAATTGCGTGGAACGATGCTCATGTTGTTGATCACTGGGTTGTCTGGTCCAGACTCGATTATTTACAGACCGCCACCATATAGCTGGGATATTACTATAAAACATGACTAGGGCCCTCTATACCATGTACATGACATTATCATAGGTCCTCAGATACAATTATTCAGCTCTCTATACCATGTTCATGACATTACCATAGGTCCTCAGATACAATTATTCAGCTCTCTATACCATGTACATGACATTACCATAGGTCCTCAGATACAATTATTCAGCTCTCTATACCATGTACATGACATTATCATAGGTCCTCAGATACAATTATTCAGCTCATATCACTAAAACATGACAAGGGCCCTCTATACCATGTACATGACATAGGTCCTCAGATACAATTATTCAGCTGATATCACATTAAAACATGACCAAGGGGCCCTATATAGGTTCATGGATACAATTATTTAACTGATATCATAACCTGACAATGGGGCCCTCTTAGGGCATACTGCATAGCTGTGTACAATCACACCCTTGCAACAACATCAGTCAAAGATGCGCCATACTCTTGAGGTGAGCATGATCAGCGGCTGCAGCTAAACAGGGCTGGGGTGCAGGGCTCTGGGGTGCAGGGCTCTGGGGTGCAGGGCTCTGGGGTGCAGGGCTCTGGGGTCCTCGAGCTATACATGTCATTTCAATATAAGGGCCCTTTAAATCTTCACCTTAGAGCTTCTTCAGGAAAATGTTAAAAATCTTCCTGTTCTCAGAAACATACCCTCCACAAATTCAACAAAATTCAACACTCAAAAACGGAACATTAATAAACGATACCTCTGCTGAACATCTAACAGTTGGATAGAAGGTGCTATATAAACAGTTTTATCACTACTTTCGACTAGTCTTGAACTACTTCAATACCAATACTCTCCCCTATTCTGTCTTGTACATCATTCAATAATCATTTATCGGACTGAGCCATGTGGCTTTGTCAGATATCACTCATGGATTCTACTCTGAAACTGTTCCTCTGAAAATATCTATATATGGTGCACATCAATCAAGAATACACGTCTCCTCAGATAAAATAAGGTCACCTAGATATTCTGGAAACACTTTCACCTGAAAAATATTTAATTGTCACCTTTTATAAATGACAAATGGCATCCTTAACCGCAACGCCTCCAGGCTTGGTCGTAAACGTCTCACACCGAGCACAAAAGAACATTACAGGATAGAGACATTGGGGATAATAAAATTTATCATTTTCGACATCACAAAAATGTACTGATTTCATTCTAAGCCTCGTGAAGCAAGGTTATCAGGAATACACAGGACTAACAAGAATAATAAAGACAAGCGATCGGAGAGTTCTCTCTTGATACAATGACACAGACAAGATGACAGCTTCCTGAAGCAGACACTTCATTCCATAGACAGCCTGGAGCTCCTCATGCTGCCGGATGTCATTCCGAGAGACACAGCATGGAATTTATACCTGGAAACTAGGGCCACAGATGACTTGCTAGATATTTTGAAAAAATTCTTGATAGTAACCACTTTAGTGGGTGGGTGCTTGCATACGTGCGTGCATGTGTGTGTGTGTGCATGAGATTTAGATTAGGGCACTGTCAGAAATATTCTAATTCATTTACAACAGCCTGTAATCTGGTAAATAGGAATTTATGAAAAATCGTTTTGCAGAACTGGTAACAGGGATCGAAATGCAACTTTTTGGAGGATAATTTATGCGTGCTTTTGTGAAAATAAGTGTGCCCATACCTATTGATTATCCAAATAAACTTCGAACGTCACGACGAAAATGTCATTTCGTTTTACGTGGTTTTTTAATGAATCAGTAAACGTGATGTAAACCTGCAAACTTGAGAACTGAATTTCTTGAAGACTGTCATGATTGCAAGAACAGTCAGCTTCATGTGTCCTGGACCCATAAACTAACACAAGCTACTAGTATGTTATCATCCCAAACAGGATTTCCTGTTATGCGCGAGGGCATTAAAAATGGTCATGCCAATGTCAAGCTGTGAGTTTAAACAGATAAACAGCTTGATGAGGTGCAAAAACTATTTCTTGAAACATTTGAGTTGGTCAAATGTATCACATTTTCCATTAAATGAATCATAGCATTGATTTATAATTATAGTTGTGCCACCAGGGCACACTGAAAGGTATTTCAGCATTTACTATGCCATGGCACCAAATTAAGCATTATTTCAATCCCTGACATTATACACAGCTCGTTAACTGAACACTTTCTATCCATATAACCACGATATAAGTTATCACTGAATTATTTGAAGCTTTTTCTTGTAACTATTCAACATTCAATATATTCACACTTGGGGTGAAAGCACTGAAAAGGTATGCTCTTACCACGGTATGGTACGTATTGAGGTACAAGGCCTTCAGTTCGGATAATTTCTGTTCGGCATATGAGATATGATCATAATGCAGAAAAATACTGACTTTTTGGATTGCATTACGGTATACCGAACCAAAGGCAGAATACTGACTTTTTGGATTGCATTACGGTATACCGAACCGAAGGCAGAATACTGACTTTTTGGATTGCATTACGGTATACCGAACCAAAGGCAGAATACTGACTTTTTGGATTGCATTACGGTATACCGACCGAAGGCAGAATACTGACTTTTTGGATTGCATTACGGTATACCGAACCAAAGGCAGAATAATGACTTTTTGGATTGCATTACGGTATACCGAACCAAAGGCAGAATACTGACTTTTTGGATTGCATTACGGTATATCGAACCGAAGGCAGAATACTGACTTTTTGGATTGCATTACGGTATACCGAACCGAAGGCAGAATACTGACTTTTTGGATTGCATTACGGTATACTGAACCGAAGGCAAAATACCGTGATTCTGCTAATACCGTGGTATACCATTTCACCCCTATTTCACACACACCTATGAGTATGACTAATCACGCCTTAGACTCACCAATGGTAGATACCATGAGCACCGATGCATACAGTCTCGCAACAAAAACACTGAAGGTCACACACGGGGCCACCGACAATAATGTAGCTCTTAAACAGGAGATGGCATTCAAGCCACAGGTTAATTATTGGAGAAGATACACTTGTTTCCAGGCTGACATTATACTGAGGGAATATTGCTGACTAAGCAAAAACACCATCTGTGTACCTGTACCACTCTGTGATCAACAACTAGATAATGCTGGAGGTGAGACCGATTAAATACACTTCGTCTGATTGGCTAACCATGCAACTTTGGAAGTCTTTTTCTATTTA